TATTAATCTTGGTTTTTGCCGCTCCGGACCATGGACCCTTTTAGCCCTAAGATAAATAAGCCCCTCCATCATGTTATCTTTTCTAAAAAGTCCATGACTTAAATACAATGAGAAAAGTATTGCTTCTATATTCTATACAGTAATAGTAAGTAAGGATGGTTGGGAAAGGGGGAGGCGAGCGGAGGGAGGAGCGAACAAAGTTAGTTTTCGATGTCATGTCACAGCGTACTCCTTTCAACTCCGCCCACCTCTTTTAGTCCGCTCTGCACACAGCAGTGGAAGTGAAGTTCTATAAAATTTACCAACTATTGCGAGCTCTACGGAGTCCGTAAGGGTTGCTATACACGTAATCGGGCCGGCATAGTCTGTTCCGGCAGTATTTGTCGAACAACGTTTTTTTTATATTTATAAGATACAGGTATAAGTATCATCTAATTTTATTATGGAAAATTAAAGACTACCAATAAACTTACTTCGTTATTGCAACAGGTTGCAGGTTGTTGCTGACATAAAAATAATGAAAGAAATGCGAAATTCTATTTTGTGCTAATACATGCTCGTGATATAATACTACCCCCCCCCCCCCCCCCCCCCCCCTTGTGATATTTCGTGATTTGATATCACGTGATTAATGGACAGCCCCTTATGTGTTTAGCTACCCTTATGAGGCCGAGTCCGAAAACTTCATAAGAGGAAAAAAAAATTTTTTACAAGAATAAATTATATTTCTATAAAGTAGGTATAAACAGACAGAGAGCCACAGATCAAGTTAACACTAAAATGTCTCAATAGATTGTAAATCTTTTATTGTATAAGATGAAGTTGAAAGTCACTTGCAGAAATTTGACAGTTTTGGATGACTTGATCTGCAGTTATCTGTTTATATTAGTATACATATGAAAAACATATTACAGAATGTATCTCTGATATAATATTATCAATATATGGGTATTCTAATGTAGATAAATCTACAAGAATATATCAAATGAATTCACATTTGTGTTATTAAGATTTTTTTTTAAATATACAAACCCAAAACATTTTTATTCAACCCTGGAGTTTGTTGCTACATTTATTATAGAAATGAGGCTACAGGGATATGATTTTTTTGTCACTCGAATATAATTTCATCGTTATAGCATGTTGTAATAATAATATTCTTAACAAAGCATTGCATTCTTAATACTAATATTTTTGTCTAATGATAAAATGCAGTTTACCAAAATTACATCAAAAAGTCTATGATTACAGATTTTTAATCTGTTCAATAGGTAGTATTATTTTTTATTAGCACGATTCGGTATATATTATATAAATAACAATATAACATTATATTAATGTTTATTTTGGCAAAAACAATCTCATTAAGCAATTATTTACACTTATAACTTATCAAAAAATAGTAAAAAATATTAATGATAGTGTAATTCATCTGTCACATTTTAGTTTCAATTATACCCGCAATAGCTCTATTATTATGTATCTCGACATAGCAATATTGCTGTAGTGAGCCTTCAGTGTGTTAGTGAACAATGTGTATGAATGGTCACATGGAAACTGACTAAGATACAGACCTAATATGCGAAATAAAATAAAAAAAAGACTAATTAATATACCTACATATTATTTTTACACAACACAAATGAATGGTTTTGGAATAGAAATATTATGTCACTAGAAATTGTCAAAGGCGACAAAATGATTATAGGTAGTTATCGCTTAACTGAGTCTTCGCCTGCGGGGTAAAAAACCGGGTCCGTGAGAGGTGCGGACGGCAGGCACATATTTGTCAAAATTATAAGTGCCCGCCGCCCGCACCTCTCACGGTCCCCGTTCTCGTCCTCCCCCACACCCTGTACCCCGCGGGCGAGGTCTCAGTTAAGCGGTTTACCTAAAGTTACCTATCGATTCATTCCGATTGTAAAGTAAAAGGGGTAGGCGCGACGCCCTACACGAACAAAAATTAGCACTCTAAAGTTCAATATTTTGCAAATGGATCCCTAAATCGAAAAATAGTCTTAGGAACCTCGAACCTAGGTAATTTTAAAGGACCTATTCAACGATGGGGTAGACGATGAAAAAATAAAATCATCTCCAGGCTACATGTAGAGAAGCTACCTTAAAAAAATATATTCTTCAATATTTTATTCTACCATTTTGTCGGCATGATTGATATACATATCTCCACAAAATTACAGCTTTCTAGTGCTAACAGTCTTCAAGCAATGCCGGGAACGAAACAGTGAATATGATGTATACAGAGCCAAAAAAGCGAACACAACCGTAGATTAAAACAAAAAGGGAAGATACGGTACGCTCATACTAGCATCAAATAAAATATGCTCCGACACAACTACATAAGCAACCCACACACGTACACTACTATAAATAAACATTCAATCGAGCGAGCGAGACAGAACTGTACGCTTAAACACAGCGCGAGCGAAACGGCGAGTCCGCGTCGCGTGGCTTGGCGACAGCGTTTTCTTTTTTCTCTCTACGGCTGAGCTGTATTGTAGTCCTTTCTTGATAACAAATGGCGAATATAAGTAAATGACATTCATGATAAACCGTGATTTTTGAGATTTTTTATAGTTTTAAGAAAGAAAAGTGTTGCCGTGGAATTTGTTATTTGATCTTAAATTATTTGTGTTACTTTTTAAAAGCATCGAAGCTTAAATTTAAAAAAGGGAGGGAAGATACGGTACGCTCATACAAGCATCAAATAAAATATGCTCAGATTGAACTACATAAGAAACTCTCACACACGTACACGTCTGTAAATAAACATTCAATCGAGCGAGCGAGACAGAACTGTACGCTTCAACGCAGCACGAGCGAAACTGTGAGTCCGCGTCAGAGTACGTACCTACTGCTGAGCTGTATTGTGGTCCTTTTCTTGATAACAAAATGGCGATTACGTCAATAACATTCACGACAAACCGCGAATTTTAAGAAAAAAATGTTTTTTAACGTTTTACGTATGAGAAGTGTTGCCGAGGCATTTGTTATTTGATTTTTATCTATTTATGTTCGTTATTAATCATCGAAGGCATTGTTTTATCTTTATAACATAGAATATACGCAATATCGTTATTTTGAGTACACATGCAGCTTTTTGAATGTCCAACTGTGACTAAAGCGAATTGTATTCATGCACCTAATTTACGACACAATTAGCCGCGAGTGCCGTATCTTCCCTTTTTGTTTTAATCGAAGTACATAACTAAACTAAGTTTATGTCTCCATTCATACAATTGCGATAGGATATATTTTAAATGAAATTGAATGATTTTCAGACTCGAGAAGTGGTGAACATTCGATTTGATAAGAGCAATATTTATTAGGTTATTATATAATTTTTCTCTATGCCAATATATGCCCTGGTTATGTTTATTCTCTACGCTAACATTTCGAAAGAGCTTTCATTACTTTTTCACCAATTATACCATAAATTAAGCAGGAACTCGTGAAACTAAAGTTGTACAAAAAAAGAAAGGCCGAGCAAATCACTAACCAATTTATCGATAAATATGCTTTAACTCTAGCCCATTATCATCTCGAAATCAGACGAAAATTTCAACGCTTTTTTTGTTTATTTATGTATTGACTACATATTAATTACAGTGATAATAGGTCGTAGTACAAGTATATCCATTGTCATTTAATGATTAAGCTGAACTAAACCAAATTTTGCCTAAAAATCAACAAAAAACTTATTTGACGATCTATACATTATCTTTCGAAAAGATTGGATATAAGTTCTCTCAAATAAACCGAATATCAACACATATGTATAAAACCTTTCTTAATGGCTTGCATAACATGTTCTAGCGTTTTATTGGTAGTAAAGTCATGTATATAAGACAGCGGGTCCAAGAGATCAAATTGAATTCTGAATAACTTATTAATTCATTGCTTGTTAAGTCAACAACTCGTACATATAAAAATATCAAGGCGACTTGGTTCCATTATAAAAGGTATTGTTTATTTGGTATTTCGATGAGGAAGTTTTACTCGGCAGTGTTGTCAAAAAAAAGATAGTACAGAAGGTAATCTCTACAGTATGTTGTTCACTTTTCATACCTACGCTCGGCGGTCGCGCTAGGATTGTCAACTTTTGCTAGTCCAAAAAAAAAATGTAGTGGCATTCGTACCTGTGTAGCTTTTTCATTTATTGTTGAGAATCAAACAGGAAAAATGGAAATTTAGACTGATAATAACTAAAGTTTGTTAATTTTTACGTTATTGTTATAATTGGTACAAAAAAATTAAGAAAAAAACAACATTCACAGTTAAATTTTGAATTCAAGCAACCGCCCACTGATGGTTATAATATTTTTTTTTACAACAGTTATAATAAATTTTTCGTCGCTCCATTTTTGCATAAAAAAGTTCACAGACGCGTGTCTCAAGCGGATGGTACTCGCGCTCTCACTGGACCCAAGCAGTCCGAGATATCGTGTCCGTGAGCGGTGTCTACGTGTGCGTTGCTCGAGTGCACTTTGTATGTAAATTACCATTTATACTTCGAGTGCACTTTGTATGTAAATTACCATTTATACTATCTATTTTGTGGTGTTGCATAGAGAAATTGGTATTAGGGGCCATCCATAAAATACGTCACACGTTAAGTGGGAGGGAGGCGGTCGACGAAGTTTGACAAGGTGTGGGAGGGGTCCTAAGTTTCGTGACGTCACATTTCAAAATCTAATACCTGCTTTTGAACTATTATCAAAAATCTTTAAATATGTAGATCTCTATCTGTATGGGGTTTTATTTGTGTTTTGGCCAATTTTCTGAACTTATTTCGGAACTGCTGTTTTAATAATAATTTCTAAAATCAAAATATGTAACGTCACACTATCCCTAGGGGGGGGGGGGGGGACACAAAGGTGATAAAGTCGAGGGAGGGGTAAAAAATCACGTAATTAGTGTGACGTACTTTATGGACGATCCCTTACTTGATACAGGGTTCAAAATTGGTCCAAACATCATATTTAAGATATTCCAGCATAATGGGATACGGCGTCCGCGGCTGCAGTGTTTAAATGTCTGGTGGCCGCGTCGCTTCGATTCCTAGCAGCGGCAACGGCACTCAGGACCAACTTCGAAAGCAGAGGCCTATGTATACGTTCAGTATACCTCTCGTATGATTCTAAACCTTCTTGTAATTTCAGTATCAAACTATCGTAGTTCTTTCTCACTACGTCCAGAATCTGAAATGTGGTATTCTCTGTGATTTTGTTTCTGAGATATACTTTTTAGTTCACGATGAATTACTTTATTAATCTAAGCGGGGTTTAAAGTCATAATATGCACTTATATTCAATAAGGGTATTCTGGAATGACGGGCGCCATCAATATAAATGCTCGTTCGATTAATTCGCGCCAAAACTTCATACAAAAAATTTCACGTTACAGTGGAGCCAACTGGTGACGTAAATTTTCCTAAATACCCTCATCAGATAAGCAAATACTATACAAGCGATCGATTTTGTAATTTTACATAGAAAACGTTTAAAAGAACAGACAAGGCACTTAACTTGAATTAATCATAACATAAAAGTTAAACTTACCTGATCTTCGGTGGGCGTGGATAAGTTTTGTGAAGCAAGCCACGCCTCGATTTTAGGAGAGAAATGTTGTATGATAGCTCTCACGTTTACCAAGCAGTTGGCGAGTCGCAACGCTTCTGCCTTATACTCTCCGTCTCCCGTCGAATATCGTAAAGCTGAAAGAGTAATCAACATCAGCCTAATAATGTCCCAACTGCTGGAGCAAAGCCTTCTCCATGGATGGAATAGGTAAATCGTGCCGTGACCGATCATGCGGCCAATGCGCATTGATGGGTGTTAATGACTGCATAATTATGCAGTCGGAGCTCAAGATAGTAAACTTTTGGCCATCCATCCGATGTCCAAACACTGCAAAAGTTGTTTTATTCGAACTCGTTAACTCTTGTCATCGAGCTCTTCAAAATAATAGTACTAATTGACATTTCTGTGAGCGACTGTATCACAAAGCTTCATAACATCTGTAGAAGGTCAAAAAGATTAAAAAATAATGTAAGAAAGGGATATAAAAAACTAAGAAGACATACCCATATAAAAAAGATTATCAAACACTTGATGCATCCTTATCAATTCGTAGTATAGTTGATCATACGATGCGGGTGTTGGTAAAAATGTGTCTCCGAATGTTATAAACAAGTTGAATATATTTACGACCTGTAACAGGGATGAATAGAGTCAGTGATAATAGCTTGCGCTTCATATCGAAAGTTAATTCTTAAAATAACCTGGTTCGAATGAAATGATTGAACAACTTTTATGAATCGCGTCTCGAAAAAGGCACATTTGCTCCTCATGGACAAATTACTCAGATCTATTCTGCTTGTAATATTTGCGTTAGTAAAATTTTAATTTTGATAATGGTGTCGATTCTGGCATGATTATCTAAATCTAAACTTAAAATTGACTGAATTGAATTGTATCCTTGTCATTCTCTATACAGAATAAAAAGGAGAGACTGATGTTAAATTTAGTCTTAAGTTTAGAGAATCACGCCAGAATCGATGCCAGTAGCTTTTAATTGGTTGTATAATTAATCTGCTGTATGAGAATCTATCAATGACTGACAGACCCGATATGCGTTGTGGTGGCCGACAAAAATTAAATACCTAAAAAAACTAAACACCCGACTGCAGCCGCACTTATCGGGTAGAGCTGTAATAATAATAATATTCTTTATTGTAATACACCATACAAGAAACACAAGTAAATTAAAATACATGATTGATAGAACGTACACAATATAGGCGGCCTTATTGCTAGGCAGCAATCTCTTCCAGGCAACCCATAATAGAAAGATAAATAAATATGCAGGAGAAAAGGAGGGGTGTTATAGAAAATAATAATAATATCGATGGCAGGAAAACAGATATATCTAAGGAAGGAAATGAGAGAGGATGAAAGTATTTAAGTTATGTTACTGTAAGTTATTTTTTCTTAATTTTTCTGCACAACTGCCTTATTTATTCCGTAAGAACCATCGTTAATTTAATAGAAAACTCAAAAGAAAATGATAGAAGAAATCGGTTTAAAGTTATAGCGTGACCAGAGGGAAATAGGAATTCATTTTGATATAAATAGACTAGGGTCCCGCCCTCCATTCACTTTGTTGTAGACTACAGTTTTTCCTACCATCCTATTGAATAAGTCTATCTTTTGCTGAAAACTGCATTTAAATCCGTTTAAATGCAGTTTTAAATTAGGCTACTAACGATAGGCTTAAGCAGGCAAATGACTACTCAATCTGTTTTATACTATGTTAAGTACAGTGCGAAAAGGATCGTTATGAATGTGAGTGACAGTTGAGGGAGGGCGTCACTGGTGTCGATTCTGGCATGATTATCTAAAACTTAAATTTGACAACAGTGTATCCTTGTCATGCTCTATACAGTATGAAAAGGAGAGACTGATGTAAAATTTTGTTTTAAGTTTAGAGAATCATGCCAGAACTGACACTACTGTCTGCTTAAATGACATACAAAATATGTCGTTTACAGAGAAGGCGGCCTTAGTTTCAATTTTCGCCACATTCATAAAGAACCTTGTCGCACTATAACAGGGGGAGTACTGACCTGCTGCGCCATGGTGAAGATGTTGTGTCTACGCAGAAGCGCAGTCTCATTGGCGACTAGGAACTTCAGTAAAGCTATGAGCGCCGCCCATAGAGGGCGCCAGTCTCGCGCGAGTCTCACACGACACCGTTTCTGGTAACTGAGTAGCCTTAGTAACACACCCACGCACAGTTCGTACAATTCACCCGGGAACTTCTTCAGCAGATGGCACATGATAAACTCGACTAGGAGGTCTAAAAATATTGGAAGTATAAGAAACGCCAGCTTTTTTTCCCTTTCGCCAGTGCAAGACTTCTTTTAGCTGAGAGAAGTAGAAGAGAGGACTGGCGAAAAAAATGCCACAATAATAGGTGGTAGACTTAGATCAAAACAAAAAGCGAAGATACGGCACTCTCGATTCAAAAGTAATCTGCTTAAATTGTGATGTATGACCATAATTTAGTCACAATTGGACATTCAAATACGCTGCTTGTGCACTCAATATAACAATATTGCGTATATTCTGTGTTATAAAGATAAAACAATGGCTTCGATGCTTTTATAAAGGACACAAATAGTTCAAAATCGAATAACATATGCCTCGGCAACACTTATCATTCGTAAAACTGTTATCAAGAAAAGGACAACAATACAGCTCAGCCGTACGGATTTGCAAGCGGATTCGCCGTTTCGCTCGCGCTGCGTTGAAGCGTACAGTTCTGTGTCGCTCTCTCGATTGAATGTTTATATACAAACATGTGCGTGTGAGAGTTGCTTATGTAGTTGAGTCAGATCATATTTTATTTGACGCTAGTATGAGCGTACCGTATCTTCCCTTTTTGTTTTAATGTAAGGTGGTAAATAACTGATCTTTGCAGGTGCAGTAATACGCGTGCGGGCAGTTGAAAATCGGGTGCTTCAACATCACCCGCACTCTCGGCGCGCATTAGATGACCTAGGTCCTCACAATGCGTGTCGGGTGTCCGGTGCAGGATTATTGTCTGGTTTTTAGGGCGCTCTGGTAGGGCCCTGTTTATTTTATCGCTCTTCAAAGCTGGGTGAAATGAACGGGGAGGAGTCCCGGATACAATATTCATGCTCACCCAGTGACGAAAGGATGCGTAAGGCATTTCCCGGACATTAAAAAAAAGGCGCAGTACAATTCACCCTTGAACTTTTTTAGCAGGTGGCACATCATAAACTCGACTAGGATGTCTCAAAAAATATTGAAAGTATAAGGAACTCCATATTTTTTTCTTTTTCGCCAGTTCAGGACTTCTATTAGCTGTGGCGGAGAACTAGTGAAAGGAACGCTACAAGATAGAAGAAATCGTTTCTAGTAACTGAACAGGCGCAGTGACTTCTTCAATAGGTGGCATATCATGAACTCGACTAGAAGTTCTTAAAATTATTGGAAGTCTAGAACGATTCCAATATATCCCATCACCAGTTCAGGACTTTTTTTTAGCTGTGGAGAAGAACTGGCGAAAGAAACTCCACAAGATATGTAGCCGATAACTGATTTGGCGCAGTAATACGCCGACGCACAGTTCGTAACTCACCTAGGATTTACACCAGCAGGTGGCATGTGAAATAGTAACGACATTTTTTCATGAAAACCTGAGGTCCATGCACGAATTATTGCCTGCTCCGTAACGTATTGCATCGTCAGTTTCTATGAAAACTAAGCAGTGTCGGACGTCAGAACAAACTAGCTTCTTCCATACAAAATTTGACGGTAACGATACGTTACGGAGCTGTCAAAAATTCGTGCTTGAGACTGTGTTTGCAGACAAACTAATTGCACGAATAGCGGTTGTTTAATAGCAGGATTTCGTTGTCCTTGTCACTCGTGCATTAATTAGGGAACCCAAAAACTAACTATTCCATATTGTCTCGCTCGGCTCTAGTCTGTATGCGTGTGGTAAGTAGCTTTGCAGAGATTCAGACTTCCATAACTCAAGTGTTATAGCAATTTACTTCTAGGAATCAAAACTAAGTGTATAATGTTGCGAAAGCAACATTAAATATATCCCTAAGAAAATCCATACACTGGAAGCTCTCAATTACAACATAAATAACTTTTTTTATATTTTACACAATAGGGTATTTGACAAGTTTTAGAAATCGATCTCATGCTATTGACTAATGTTTATGGAGTCCGTATAAAGTGGATATTCATCATTCTGTTGTGTATTTCAGTAAAAATACCCAAATCAAAAACTACATTTTCAAGTTGCCGCGAAAACGTTTTTCTGGACAATATGGCGTCTTACTAGACGTCACACGACTGTTATTAAAACGTCAAACGATACAATGTAATGTCACTTAATCCGGAATTTTACTGCATGTGACGTCATTTTAGGCTCCGCCAATCCCAATCGTTTTGGGTCACGTGACAATAGATAAGAAAACTATTATCTTTTTCGTGGGTTTTTGGTAAAAAAATATTTTTGTAAAAACTCCTGCCAATATTCATTCTAAACACAGATGCTAACAATTGGCACTTTATTTTTAATACTGTCAAATACCCTATTCGAAAGCTATATAACGTATTATATCTATTTACCTATAAGGGTAGAGGCTAGAGGCTGGGAAGTTGGTTCTTCCGGTACTATTTTTCTATGTCGCATAGGCAATCTATACAATTGTACCTGCAGAAAGTATATATTATTCCTGTTAAGTATTACACAGAAGAAAAAGCCATAGTACGATGAAGTGAAAAAGTAAAGCTTACCTTAAAACTTAAGTTTTGATCATGCATTATGGAGTTGGCAAACTGTTCCTCCACAATACAAGTGAGTGTGATAAAGCATAAACTGCACTTGTTAATACTAGCTTCAGTTCTTGTGTCTGCCATTACTATGGAACTGATCAAATAAAATAAAAATGCAATTAGGTAGGTAGTTGAATGTAGTGTAGCTTCTAAAAACAGCCTAAAATGTTCAGGCTGTTTCTAAATTATTTGAAGTAAGTAATTTATCTAGCAATATAAAGCTCAAAGACGGTTAGTGAAATTTGACAGTTTTGGGTAACTTGACCTGTGGTTAACAGCCAGCCGTATTTGTCTAATTTTTAAAAATTTACAGTGTGGAACTAAAGAGAAAATTGCATATCCATCGATGCTTTTCAGAACCATTAGCCGGCTAATAAAGCAGTAGTGGATTAATAAATAGCTAGGTGATTATTACTTCTATCTGTCAAAAGCAGTTAGAGAATAGACCTACTGTACCTTAGGCCTACTTGCTATTAATTTGCTAATTCTCGATTCAACTTAAAGTACACTTAAGTCATATAAAATTGTCAAAACGTTTTAACATTACTGTATGGGCTAAATATAGTTTTAGTTAAATTGAGATTTAGCAAAATTGCTGCAAGTGGACTTTATAAACATAAATTTTAAATTAATCAAAATAAAATAAACACTCACCAATATTGGAAGAATGTTACTAAGAGATTGGTAGGTTGGTCATTATCCAGGGCTTGTATTTGAGCCTGACTCGGGGGACTCTAAAACAATCGATTTCTTTTGTAGAAAAAAATGCAGAAGCAAATCATGCTCAAACGGCTAAACAGATTGAAACGAGACCTGACAAATAAGTGTGTTTTGTTATAAGTATAAAAAAGTGACAATTAATCATGACCCTGTCTAATGGTAAACGACCGCTATAGCTTATAGACGATTGCCATACTATTGCAATTGCAATATTCATGTGCTGGCGCTGCTTAACCTGAAGGTAGGAGGGGATGGGAGGGTTCCCCTACTCTCTCAGGGTAGTCTATCGACAACAGAAAAACAAAAAAAAAACAATGAAGGCAGTGTTATTTTACTATGAACATCTGTAAGGTGGAGGTTGAAAAAAATTTGGACGATAGAAGAGTTGTATTATTTTTTCAAAAGTAGCAATCAGAGGCGCGCTGGTTTGACGGCAGAAGAAGAGTGTGCCAAGATATTCATGAAATTGGTGAGCAGTCTGTTATAGTTTAAACTGTGCCTAAGCTGACTTGATTATAGCTCACCTGATGCGGAAGTATAGTTGAATGTTATTACCGTGTACAGAACACGGCGGCAGAGGATGAATGATTCAGGGTAGTCATGATATCATGAAGTTGCTATGCTATGAGCTCGATGGCGCAAGTGGTTAGCGCGTTCGGCTGCGATATTTGAAGTTAAGCAACTTTCGCAGTGGTCGGTCATTGGATGGGTGACCAAAAATTTACTATCTCGAGTTCCTCCATGCTTCGGAAGGCACGTTAAGCCGTTGGTCCCGGCTGCATCTGCAGTCGTTAGCACCCGCCAATCCGCACTGGGCCAGCGTGGTGGGTCATGGCCCAATCTCCCTATTCCATCCATAGGGAAGGCCTGTGCCCCAGCAGTGGGGACATTAAAAGGCTGGTGATGATGTATTCTATCCGTTACCCTAGTATCCCATAGCACAAGCATTACAGTGCTTACTTTGGGGCTAGGCTAATTGGTGTGAGTGTTGGAAATATTTATTATTATTATTATTATAAATTCATTGCCATTTTCACTAAAACTTACCTGATGTGGTGGTAAGGTAGCAGGCGGTGAAGGCGGCGCAGAAGACGCGGAAGCAGATGAAGAATGCGCCAGGGTAGTCATGAAGTTGCGATTGAGGTGAGCTGCCTCGTACATAGCTAACAGCATTCCTTCCTCACCACCACTGTTGGTGAAAAAACCAAATAACATTTTTTGCCTTGTTGAACGGAAGCAGAAAAAGAATGAGCCCGAGTAGTTATGAAGTTGCGATTGAGGTGAGCTGTTTCGTACATCGCTAAAAGCATACCCATCTTACCACCACTGTTGGTGAAGAAACCAAATGACATTTTTCGGCTTGTTGAATGGAAGCAGAAAAAGAATGAGCCCGAGTAGTTATGAAGTTGCGATTGAGGTGAGCTGTTTCGTACATCGCTAAAAGCATACCCATCTTACCACCACTGTTGGTGAAGAAACCAAATGACATTTTTCGGCTTGTTGAATGGAAGCAGAAAAAGAATGAGCCCGAGTATTTATGAAGTTGTGATTGCGGTGATTTGCCTAGTACATCGCTAACAGCATACCCTCCTCACCACCACTGTTGGTGAAGAAACCAGATAACATTTCTGGGTTTAAATTTGAACGGAAGCAGTATAAGAATAAGGCAGAGTAGTCATGAAGTTGCGATTAATGTGAGCTGCCTCATACATCGCTAACATAATACCCTCCTTAACTTAACACCACTGTTGAAGAAGAAACGAATTAATTCTTCTTGGTTTAAATTTGAAGACACCAAAACCGCAAAGTAATGTATTATAGTTATATTATTTATTTTTTAAGCATTTAACTGTTACATTTACATGTTTATAACTAAAGAAAATTGTAGTAGAAAAAAATCCGCGAGGGCCAGACAGCAGGCGGGACTCGAACCCGCACCCTTCGCTATCCGGGCGAATGCACTGACCATTTTGCTACCGCAGCCCTGATGGCCATGTCGAAATTTCTATAGCCTTAGTGGATTTTATCTATTCTAACCAAAGATTATTAATACCCTAGATACAACAACATGTACAAAATCATGGCCGAAACCTGTCCAAAAGGCACATAAGACGATCCACATCAGTAAAGATGATTGCGTAGTCAAAATCAATGTAAGGCATTATTTAAACGTTTACATTGTAAGTCACCTTTAATGCATAGTTTATAAAGTCATTATTTAAACTCAAGCGTCAAGGAGTCATGTCAGTTTGAATGCAAGCTCGTAAAATTGTACGACTTCTTGCTATAGGCGGAATAATATAGACTTTATTTTATTTGGCTCTACGCGTAATTTTGAATGCGCTGTTAGCAATATAGCAGGTACGTAGTACGAGGAAAAGAGACGGCTATATTTGAATATCACAAATATGATTTTTAATCAGTAAATAGTAGGTATTAGTACAACTTTTGCTTCAAATGCGTTAAATTAACATTGATTAGATAGATACCTGTCGAAAAACGACACTACACACTATAAGTATTTTTTTCGCATTTTTTTACGCAGCTCTGCGGCATCTTGACTTTTCAACGATCAGCGCGTGACTTTTGACTGTGAACCAAGAAGTGCTTAAGTGGTGTTCAAGCACTTCTTGATTGGGACACATTTTGAGCGCACATAGTGTATCTAGGGTGTATATATATGTACAGTTTACATTTATTTTCAACACTTGGCTGTTTATTCTTTTTTTTTCAAAATGTAAATCATCAACTGTGTCTACACATTTAATCTTTAATTTTTAATCTAAATTTGTTTTTAAAGTTGTTGTGTAAAATAGAACTTTGATATAAGTATTTAGTATTTTTATTAGATTTTGAAATCTATACTTAGAAAAAAAATACTATGTATATAATATACTTAGATTAAAACAAAAAGGGAAGATACGGTACTCGCGGCTTAAAAGTTAAAAGCTTAAATTGTGGGGCTTATGCTTATGCATAATTCGCTTTAAACACTTTCAGACACTATATATCTAAACAAATCTCTAGATTTTTTCTGAATATAGATGTCAAACCTAGCTGCTTCTCGGATAAGGTAAGTAAAGCATACCAGTTTCTTTGTCCTCTAACCACTGGTTGTGTATCATCACTAGTGAGAAATATCCCACCCACCATGCTAGTGAGGGAAGAGAGCCAACTTCCACCCCCACCTCCACCTTGCATCCCTCCGAATATGGACATGACGAAATCATTCAATGTTGCAGTTATAACTTGGCCATATCTGAAAATTTATTTACTGTAACACTTAAAATGATACTTTATCTCTTGGATGGCAATTTAAGGTAGCTCGCAAGGAATCAATGTGGATAAAATTATATGATAATTGTATTAAATATTTTATTGAAAATATTTGTTGAAAGAAAATATTTAGAATGTTACTTAAAGCAATAAAATTGGGTTATAAAAGTTAGGCACAAATTTAAATATTATGAAACTATAAAAATAACTAGTTACCCATTTAAAGCTAATTCATCATCAAGTATTGATAATTTTACTACATATGGATTAGCAGACTCTTGTTTTTTATAGTTGACTAATAACATTAGGAGCATAACAACATCATAACCTGAAACAAGTTATTACTTTAGGTAGCTGTTTACTTTCTGTCATCCTAAGCAGAACATTTAAATTCTTATAAGAAAAATATTAGACAGACTTGCACCCCAAGGGTTCCATACTATCATAAAAGTTAAGTAAGTATGAAAGTCTTGAAATACACATTGAGATATTTGAGGGAATTTTTATTAATTATACCAATGATTAATAAAAAGTCCCTAGACAAATAGTTTCTTAGTATTATTGTTAAATACACATTCTGACAAAATATCAACTGTCTATCCATGAGATACAACTTGACAACAGACAGAAAGACAATAAAGGCTTCTCAATAAGGTTCAGTTGTGTCCCTTGGGTATGAAAGCCTAATAAACAAATTATTATACTTTCAAAGTGAATGATTTTTTTGTAAATAGTGAAAATAATACCATGTTGTTGTCTCTCTGTAGATGTACACAATAACTGTATTAATGGTTCAAATAAAGAATTAAGCATTAAATATTCAACCAATGGATTTTCGTCAATGTTATCTATTCCTGTTGCTATTATCAGTAATAACTTGAGAACCATTGACTTCAAACTTTCTGGAACATCACCTGTAATTGAGTAAAAAGCTTATTTTTTTTAATTACATTTATGTTTGCATTCAAAGGCAATAAAGATTAATGAAATGAACTTAGTAACAGTAGGTGGAAAGTTTTTAAGAATGAGATATCAACTCCTTAAGCAAATTCAATATCCATCAATTATCATTAATCATTGTACAGCTTCCAGTGCCCACAATGGGGTGTCATAGCTGTTTTTGGGACAATGTTTTTAAGGAAATATTTGTTAAATAAGCTGCCACTTACCCGACAATATATTACTGCAATGTTCAAACAATTTTTGCATTTTTAGCTCAGCATCACTTTCTCCTATTAGGATACTGTTAATATTAAAACTTGAGTCTTGCCCAACTCTTTGATACATTGTAATAAGCAGAGCACTCATTGTTTGAAGACCATAAACCAACCTAAAAAGGAAAAGTAAGTAAAATACATTACATTTTTTTTAGTAAATTTCTTCATTTATGGAAGCACATTCCGTTGTATATATATTTTTAAAAATTAAACAAAACCTCACTATTCAACCACTATATGAATCCAGTGAGTTCCCTGTATATTCTTGACAATCTATTCTGGAAAGCCAATGGATTTGAAACCATTTTCATTTAATTCAGCACTTCTGTTTAGTCAATAACATAATAAATTTTAGTTTTCTTTAAATCTGTCAAGGTGTCACCTTCTTTGAGTGTGTGAGTTTGAATCCCAGTTAGGGCAAATGTTTATATGATTAATACATGCCATAGTCATTAATACAGTCATAGCTTGTTAGGTATTAATATAAAGGTTATATTTCTACAAAAACATACTTATCCATATAACTTTATATGTATTTTTATCTGTTACCCTAGGGTAATAGACTATAGGTCTTGCCTTGCTGTACCTACTTTTAATATATTTTATTATACCTTATGTGGTGCTCCTGTCCCAGCATCTCTATACATTGTGCCACTAATATGTTGATACTCTCTTTCATATTCATTAGTTGTTCACTAGAAAGTTTATGAATTTCAGCCTCTAATTGTGGGATCTTTGGTTTTAATAAAAAGAATTCGTCCCAAAAAGTAGGGTTATCACTGGTCAAATCTTCACCTTTAAAGAAGGACTCGTATATTTGAACGACCTTTTCTTTTAAGTGTCTTTTTGAGCCAGAACCGCTTCTCTTTCTCATAGCCATTGCCATTGTTTTTAGTCTTTAAACGAAGAAGACTCAATTTACACAGAAGATTATGTGTACATGAATTCAAAATTGTGTTTTGATAGAGACGTGATTAAGTTATTGATAATTCAAATAACAAAATAAATATATATATAACATACAATAAAGCAGTTTACACTAATAACTTTTAAGCTTTCGCTATCAAAAATTAAATCAAAGCCATTCAAATGATTAAAAGGTAAAGAAACATTGGGCGTAATGCCAGCACTTCACTTGATAAAAGTATGTGCTATTTGTCAATTTCACAGCAGGCTGTCCTTGACAAGGGAGAATTGTCAAAATGAAGTGCCGGCATGAGGCTCAACTCAAGCACGGAATTTGACAGCTCGATTATCGAATCGAATCGTAAGTTTAAATGAAAACTGGGCAGCAAGATATTCCAAAACATCGAATCAGATCGGGCATCTTAACTCTACTCAAAAACCAGACCAAAACGGAAGTCTGGTCTCATAAAATCAAGTACACCAGATCAAAACGGAGAAAATCCAAGCCCTTAAATAATAAAAAAAAAAACGGAGAAAACATTTAAAACTATTAATACTATTATTCTGTGCCATTCTGTAATCTGTGACTGTGGTTCTGTGGTGCATTGTTTTATTTCAGTCTGTTGGTTTTATTTAGCGTTGCCGTGGTACTTATTTCTAAAATGAAGTCCAAAAAACGCCATCAAACTTCTTCGGAGGAATCTGAGCAATCGGACGACAGTGCAAAATCAAGCAGTTCTTCTGATAGTGAAACTGAAGAATCATCTGCGTCGGAGCACCGGTACAAGAAAAAAAGAAAACGTGCTGGTTCATCAGATTCGGAAAGCGATAGTGAAGATCATAAACGTTCGAAGAAACGTAAGCATAAGAAAAAGAAGAAGAAGCATGAAAAGAAGAAGCGACGAGCAAATTCGGAAGAAGTTAGTGCTTCAGCTGAGGAAGTGTCTTCTGTCAGTGAAGGTGAAATTTCACCAAAAAAGAAACGCAAGCATAAACACAAACATAGCAAACGTGCTCATAATTCGTCAGAAAGTGAAATAGGTGAGATAATCAATTAGTTACATTCTTATTTGTTTATAAAAAAAAGGTTGTCTGGAAGAGATCACTCTAAGCGATAAGGCCGCCCATTGTTACACTAGTTTTAATTGGTTATGTACTAAATTTAATGTTATCTGTGGTGTACAATAAAGTGTTTTGTATTGTATTGTATAAAATGTAATTTATAAATATATTAAAATGTAAATTATAAATTTTAGAAGAAGTTCATGTGGAGAGGCGTCTTCATAGTGTGGTGAAAGAGCGTAGAGCTGCTTCTGAGGATAGTCAGCCATCAAGAACTTACTATCAGTAAGTGCTATTATTATTTTGGTTGATCAGTTTACATTATTTTGTATAATAATAGGGGTGCGTTTCATATCTCTACATAATGCAACTTGGGTTAAAAAATGCTCTGTCTGGAGGTGTTGAACGACTTTAGTTGTTTTAAGTCAAAGTTAGGTTGAAGCATGGGAGCTTTTAAAAATGAAAGGCTCTATTTTCAATAAAATTTACAACACATATTGAAACTAACAGGTTTTTTTTCTCCCTAAGTATTAAGAGATAGAACCATGATAGAACTGATTAATTCTTTGTTACTCTCGGCTATTGTAATCTTCTTCAAGGAGGAAATTACCTTACCTAAATTTTATGTCTTTTTAATACCTACCATCTTTTTTTACACAAAAGCAAGTTCTTATATGAGTATAATAAATATCTACAACTTATTTACTTACTTCAAAGTATGTCCATAATTTTCATGCTTTTAAATGACGGTTGTCAATGTTTTTTAACCCACTCTTGGGATAGTTAAAAGTAACAACCACCAGAGGATCGAAACAACCAAGTGTGACAACCATTTGTCAAATCAACTGTCACTTCAAGGTTCTGAACTTTGAATTCAAAGTTGCACTCAGAGTGTAGGTTCTGAACGCACACCTGTGCTAGCAATTAGTTACTCACTATCGCTATTTAAACTCACACTATACTATGTGAGCGAATCTGTTATTTAATTAATTAATTAATCTATCCACTAGAATGGCAAATACAAATTGATTTACATATCTTAAGTATTATGAATACATTGTCCCCCATTAATATAATAGTTTATGAGGTCTGACTAGTTATACAGAATGCTTTAAAATTCTTATATTGATTAAATTATTGGTATTATTTATTTTTTAAGCATTTAACTGCTAGATGTTTAAATCTAAAGAAAAGTTTACTAGAAAAATATCCACGCGGACCAGGCAGCGGATGGGACTCGAACCCGCATCCTTCGCTATCCGGGCGAATGCACTGACCATTATGCTACCACGGCCCTATTAGCCGCGTCGAAATTTTCCTAGCCTTAAGCTGCAAGGCAGCGCCATCTCTTCGCATTGTAGGAAACCCACAATGTCAAATTAATACTTTTTCAAGTATTAAACATTTGAAAGAAGAAATAGCAATTATAGTTATGATTTTATTTATTTTTTAAGCATTTAACTGCTAGATGTTTAAATCTAAAGAAAAGTTTACTAGAAAAATATCCACGCGGACCAGGCAGCGGACGGGACTCGAACCCGCATCCTTCGCTATCCGGGCGAATGCACTGACCATTATGCTACCACGGCCCTCTTAGCCGCGTCGAAGTTTTCCTAGCCTTAAGCTGCAAGGCAGCGCCATCTCTTCGCATTGTAGGTAACCCACAATGTCAAATGAATACTTTTTCAAGTATTAAACATTTGAAAGAAGAAATAGCAATTATAGTTATGATTTTATTTATTTTTTAAGCATTCAACTGCTAGATGTTTAAATTTAAAGAAAAGTTTACTAGAAAAATATCCACGCGGACCAGGCAGCGGACGGGACTTGAACCCGCATCCTTCGCTATCCGGGCGAATGCACTGACCATTATGCTACCACGGCCCTATTAGCCGCGTCGAAATTTTCCTAGCCTTAAGCTGCAAGGCAGCGCCATCTCTTCGCATTGTAGGTAACCCACAATGTCAAATGAATACTTTTTCAAGTATTAAACATTTGAAAGAAGAAATAGCAATTATAGTTATGATTTTATATGAAAAAGTATTCATTTGACATTGTGGGTTACCTACAATGCGAAGAGATGGCGCTGCCTTGCAGCTTAAGGCTAGGAAAATTTCGACGCTGCTAATAGGGCCGTGGTAGCATAATGGTCAGTGCATTCGCCCGGATAGCGAAGGATGCGGGTTCGAGTCCCGTCCGCTGCCTGGTCCGCATGGATATTTTTCTAGTAAACTTTTCTTTAGATTTAAACATCTAGCAGTTAAATGCTTAAAAAATAAATAAAATCATAATTATAATTGCTATTTCTTCGCATTGTAGGTAACCCACAATGTCAAATGAATACTTTTTCATATAAAATCATAACTATAATTGCTATTTCTTCTTTCAAATGTTTAATACTTGAAAAAGTATTCATTTGACATTGTGGGTTACCTACAATGCGAAGAGATGGCGCTGCCTTGCAGCTTAAGGCTAGGAAAATTTCGACGCGGCTAATAGGGCCGTGGTAGCATAATGGTCAGTGCATTCGCCCGGATAGCGAAGGATGCGGGTTCGAGTCCCGTCCGCTGCCTGGTCCGCGTGGATATTTTTCTAGTAAACTTTTCTTTAGATTTAAACATCTAGCAGTTAAATGCTTAATAAATAAATAAAATCATAACTATAATTGCTATTTCTTCTTTCAAATGTTTAATACTTGAAAAAGTATTCATTTGACATTGTGGGTTACCTACAATGCGAAGAGATGGCGCTGCCTTGCAGCTTAAGGCTAGGAAAATTTCGACGCGGCTAATAGGGCCGTGGTAGCATAATGGTCAGTGCATTCGCCCGGATAGCGAAGGATGCGGGTTCGAGTCCCGTCCGCTGCCTGGTCCGCGTGGATATTTTTCTAGTAAACTTTTCTTTAGATTTAAATTATTGGTATTTATGTTAGTATTTCTAATTTAGAAAGGAGTATCGTCATTCAGCTTCTGATGAAGAGTATGAGAGAGAAAGGGAGGTGCAGAGATTTTACCGTGGTTCTAGTAAGGAACGCAAACATCAATATCAGGAGCAGTATTATGACAGAGACAGGAATAATAGGTATTTATTTAAAATTTATTTTTCTATCCTTTAGTTATAAGTTTGCAAATATTGTTTCAATGTATTAAATGCAATTTAAGCAAAAAAAAAGTGTGTTAATATTAATAATTTGTATTCAAGCTGATTTTTAAGTATTTATTAGTGTACCATATATTATATTAATTTATCACTTGTTTGACTAGAAAAGAGAAAAAATCTATTGAATTGAATAAGCCAAGTAAATTAATATCATTAAATACCTTGACGAAATGTAAATTACAATCAGCACAGTGCTTTGAATTGACATATAAATTGCAGATTTGGATCATATCATCCTGATAAAAATAAAGACAAATATGGCAATTTCTCCCATTACAATGATACAAACCAAGATTTCTCTAGAAGACAACAGGAAATGGATGAATACAAAAGGTACTCTTATTTCGTACTTTCCTTTGTGTGTTCATTCATTCCATCTTTATAACATTAGTTGTCAATTATCACAAATCATACATTATGATGCTCTGTATTTATAAATACTTATTTATGCTTGATTTAAATAAACAGAATTTTAGTAATTTACATTAAGATTAAGCTTTTATATACTGTAGGCAACACAGATATGAAGAGCACAGACCTCAAGGTGAATATAGGAAGAAACCAAAAGAAGATGCTTACCATCCTCAACGTGATGATACCAGAGGTAATAATATTTTGAATAATACCAACGAACCTTAAATGTACAGTTTCATAGTATTTTAAGTAAATTATAAAATTCTTTGAAACTGTATGCATATTGAAATTACAGAAGCAAATAAGTTTAGAAAATAACATCGCAATAATGCTGTGAATGCTAAGACATTAAAATATCATGCTATTGAAATAATGATAGTTAACCTTAGTTTCTAATAGTAGTTTCAAATAAGATTACTTTCTGTATACACATATTATGTGTTGGCAATGCATTGAGTTACAGAATACTTGTCCAATTAATTGTTTGTACAAGTGCAAACTATCAATTAACATTGGATATGAAGCTACATTATTAGCATAATTAACATGTTGCAAAAATACTTGTACCAACATACCAATAATTATATTTAGTTTTGACAAGTACTATACCTATTGTGTAAATAATTGATTAATTTTTTTATGTAAAAATAGAAAAACATTACTTTGAGAATATTTCCCAAAAAAGAATCTACCTCATATAGTCTTAGTCTTAGTAGAATGAAAGAATCTACCTCATATATATATGAATGTTATTAATTGTAATTCTCTTTTATAGGATACCAACGATATAACCAGTATGAAGACAGAGGACCTAAACGTCGTGATTATGATGATGGAAGGGATTATCGAGAAAGGTAAATTTTTATATAAATATTTATATTTTATTTACCAAATAATGAACATGTTCATTTATTATGATATTGGTGAGATCTTGCGATATAATGGCATAATTCTCTTTAACTGAAAACTAAATTTAACATCAGTGTCTCCTTTTCTTTCTGTATAGAGAATGGATACACTGTTGTCGAAATTGCTTTTTGCGCTACAGCACGGGCGGAGACGCGACTTCTTTGAGCATATTGCTTCAAAATTCAAAAAATCAATATTCAGTTTAGGCTTTTACAAGCGCATGTGAAAGTCGAAAGCTACGCCATCTGTTCGCAAATCTATGGCAGCAGCAAGGGCTGTTTTTTTCTGCCTGTTTTATTTAATACAATGTCATAATTTTTATTATTTTTAAAGCATGTAACTGCTTGATGTTTAAATCTAAAGAAAATATAACTAGAAAAAAAAATGCCTGGTCCGCGTGGATTTTTTTCTAGTTATATTTTCTTTAGATTTAATACAATGTCGTCAAATTGAAAGCTGACATCTATCATAAAAACATGTATTGGGGTCAACTTCATCACATAATGTAAATAGGTAACAATAAATATACAAAAGCTCCGAAATATCCAGTAAACAATTTTCAAAATACATGATCAAGTATATAAAGGACACTAAGTGCAAGGTTCTCTTCAATACTCCTCTTGAGGAGACAAGTTTAATATAACTGAAAAATTTCTGAAGGTAAAAATTACGACCTTAATCGTTCAAATATTTTTAACAGTATAATATCCTTTCTAAAGTAAGTTACATACTGGTTTCAATTCTGGCATGAATCTCTAAAGCTAAACTTAAATTTGATAATAGTGTATCCTTGTCATTCTCTATACTGAATAAAAAGGACAGACTGGTGTTAAATTTAGAGAATCCTGCAGAATCGACAGCAATAATAGCTTAGTTGATAAATAGATCTTACAGCACGTTTTTGCAAAATATATATCTTTTCAATGTCTGCTGCTGCTCCCCAGAGAATAATGCCATAGGATACAATACTATGAAAGTAACTAAGTATACAGTCCTATCAGTGTCTACATCAAAAAATTGCCTTTTTTTTGTATTAAAGTGAAATATGAGGATACCACTGCAATAGTTATACCTAAGAATAATGTTGATTCAACTAAATTGAGCTTTTTATTCTTTAATTTAATTTCAGCTGGTTCGTTCCTTACATTTGGTAAAGCGAATTTTAAGCATTTATTTTTAAATTATTTACATTAAACCAGTGCTATACTTGTGAGAGAGCATCATTTATATGATCCTGTTTATTTTTGGACCTGTCAACCTTAAATAATAAAGATGTGTCATCAGCAAACAATCACATAGCATCTCACAGAATTTCTCACAAACACATAACACAAAAAATGACAAATCGTTTTTATACAATAAAAATAGGATCAGACCCATAATAGAACCCTGAGAAACGCCCATTAACACATGAGATCCAGATGACTTGACACCATTTACCACTACAGTCTGAACTCTATACGACAAAAGCAATTTTCGGGCTGCGTCTTTGACTCCATAGTGACTCAATTTTATCGCCAGCGTCTGATGCTCAACGCAATCAAAAGCCTTAGACAAGTCACAGAACACTCCAAGAGTATTCTTCGAATCCTCCCAAGGTTTCAATATATGCCTAATAAGTGCAACACCCGCATCAATCGTAGATCTACCTCTGGTAAAGCCAAATTGATTTGTTTGTAACAGTTTATTCAAATTGAAATGTGATATTAATTTATCTAAAATTTTATATTTTTTCGAATATTTTACTTAATACCGGCAATACTGATATAAGTCTGTAATTACCGCGGTCACCTATGTTTCTAGATTTAAAAAGAGGTATAACTTTACTTTATATTTCAGGAGGTCTGAAAATACTCCCTGATCAATACAATTATTAAATATATTTGCAGGATAAGGACCGATGACTGTTATTATTATCATGCTTAAATCACACGTATTTTTTTTAAGTGATTTAAAGCTTTGGTAATATCCATGAATTCAACATGTCTAAACTTAAAAGGGGATTCACACCGAGGCATACACGTCTCGAGCAAAATCTTAGCAGCCGCCGGCGATAGATTCAAATTATAAGTTGTAGTTAGGGCTTTGAAAACTGTGAATATTTGAAATATTATTATTTTTAATAATACCACCTTCAATTTGGCATCATCATCATCATCATCATCATCATCAGCCTATTAATGTCCCCACTGCTGGGGCACAGGCCTTCCCCATGGATGGAATAGGGAGATTGGGCCATGACCCACTACGCGGGCCAGTGCGGATTGGTGGGTGCTAACGACTGTAGATGCAGCCGGGACCAACGGCTTAACGTGCCTTCCGAAGCACGGAAGAGCTCGAGATAGTAATTTTTGGTCACCCATCCAATGACCGACCACTGCGAAAGTTGCTTAAGTTCAACGATCGCAGCCGAACGCGCTAACCACTTGCGCCATCGAGCTCCTTAGACCATTTGGCATATGAAACTTTTAAGAGATGGTGTATTGTTGTTTGATGTAGGCGTCCAGAAGGAGAACAGTACCGGGAACGAGACTATCCAGACAAAAGAGACAAGTACCGGGAGGAGGCTTATGCTGCAGACAGGTATGTGCAAACTGTTTTAACATCAAGAGTCCCTTATAATATAAAAATCATTTATATAACAATTATTTTTACAAAATTCACAACATCAATATTAGGTATGAAAAATCTTTGTGGTATTTCATTTCAAAAGAGTATTTGAGTGAACACTGCATGTGTGTGCTGACGTGAAAACTGTCCACTAATTGTTCTAAGAAGTTAAATGACTGTATTTGTTTTTACAGAATCTCTACAGAGAATTATAATGAGTTCGATACGAATACGCTGCTTTTGCAAAGATATTTCACTGTTTGCACCTTAAACGATAATTACTCTAGGCACGTCTGAAAGATTTAAGTAATAGAGTGTAATAGATTTTTATCGGACACCGAAATCATAAAAATGACTTTTTCGGAAATAAGTCATAAGAAACCAACCATTCATCATGAATTATTATAAAGTTAGTTTGGATATTACAACACTGCGTAAATTATTATGTCAATGTGAAATGATCTCAAAAGAATGTTAAAGCTGTAGCATTTATCCAAGTTACATAATAAACATAACGTGATTGTTAATTGTTTGTGGAACTGAGGAAAAGCATTCTTGATAATTCGACTTTAAATATTTATAAGGGAAATCATACTCAAAAGAAAATCAACTAGGAAAGGTTCGGTCGTCGTCTATGTGACTCCTGAAACCTTCAAAACAATGACTGTTTTTGGAGAAGATTTAAGATTTTACATTTATATCATACCAATGTGTTAAAAAAAAATCATCCAAGATATTATGAAAATAACTTCAGATAAAATCCAGATATAATGGAAATAACTTCCAAGATCAAATCAAAGATATAATGGAAATAACTTTAAATATAATATCCAAGATATAATGAAAAGAACTTCAACAATAAAATCCAAGAAATAATGGAAATAACTTCAAAGAAAAAATCCAAGATATAATGGAAATATCTTTCAACATAAAATCTCATATATTATGGAAACAACTCCAAAGATAAAAACCGAAATATAATGGAAAAATCTGCAAAGATAAAATGCAAGATATGATGGAAATAAACCAAGTGATAGATACAATAGCATGTTGCATGTTTTGATGGTAACAAGAGAATCATACCAAAATATGTTCTGACAACACTTCTCGATCTTGTACATGAAGCATACAAATACAAAATCGCAGTGGAGTATTTCATAATGTACAATTATGGATCAAGTATCAGTCGGGATGTTTTCATGTTATCTACCAAGTCTACTGATTACCTGGATTTTTTTTAATAAATTATAATTGATAAGTCCAAAAGAAATTTTGGAATCCCAAAATAAAATATTTTACTTATTAATATGAATTAATATGAAAATGAGTAAGATCAGAAAATGGTTACCAAAGGTAAAAAATAAACTCATAGAAAAGATCATTTCAAGAAAATTTCGGAAGAAGTAGCCCCAAAGGCAATTATTCAAATATTATGTTATGTGTATGTATAAATGTAGTTATTATTTTAATAACTTTCTCGAGATATCCACGACTGGATGAATTTGAAGTAGGTAATGCTTCGTCAAATCATCGTATTAAAAGAATGTTATGGTAAGTTGATGATTTACAGGAGTGTCAGAGTAAATGTTACTACGTCTTGGAGGTTGAGGATAAAACCAAAAGCCTTGTTTAATGCTAAAATGTTATTTCGTACAAGGCACGGATCTTAGCACAGATTTAATGAAACAAGCACTATATATATAATTTTATTTTCGTATACAGTAATCTAAATCTGTGATAAGAACCTGGATTATTTACCGCTGTTGGGAAAAATCTTTAATAACTTTTTGTTATGGTTTCACGGAAAAATAGTATCATCGTGTCAAATCAATTTTATTGTACTTTTCAAGCGCATGTTTAAAAATAATATATATTTATTTCGTAAAGATTCAATCTTTTCCTGTTATGCGCGCCAAAGAATTCCTATTAACTGTTGCGCTTCTTTTAAAAAAAGATAAGCCTCATACAGTCAAGTGCACTATGTAAATATTAATTTTCAATGATCCAAAAAAAAAGGAAGGATAACTAAAATTTTTTATAACTGATGATATAATTATTTAGGATTTTCTATTATAACTATTAAAAATTAATTGAAGATTCAAATTGGTTTCCGGCATATTTATTAAAAGATAAACGTAATACAGTAATCTATTTGTAATTGTTTTTTCATATTATTTTTATAGTAATTCATTCAGATTTTAATATTATATTAAAATCTGAATGAAGTAGGCCTGTGTAATAATGATATAAGTAAAAAATGCACATTTGTTTTATGAATTCCAATTGTGAATGTCATACATTTTATAGTTTTGAGTGTATAACTCCTATATTCAGTTTTGCTGAAGTAACACCAATATAAAACATAACGTTTGTATGTATCAACTATTCTAAAACGATCAAGTTTTATAATAATTAGTAGTGTTTAAATTAGGCAATTTTTTTGTTTATTCTGTTTGACATTACATTATAATGTAACATACCGTTAGATGTTTGGCGAATTGAAATGGAATAATGAGAATTTTTATCAATAAAATATTTATTTGTTGTTGTTATATAAAACGAGCGAACCTTACAGTAGTCGCGTATGATGTGTAACATTTCAAACCTCACCTTATATTAGTAAAAAATAAATAAAACCTACTACAAAAGGAATAAACATTTAAAAATTATGTTCTAAAATCATATCAAATAGCGCGCGCTTCCCAAACTTCCTGTTACACACTTCTGTCCCACTTCACGTAATCACTCCCACAAATTGCACGAAAGCGAGAGGAAAGATGTTACACATCAAAAATATTTGTGTGAATATAATTATTGGCTTGGTCTCCGCTGACGATTTATATTGGAATGCGTAATATGCACGTGTTTATGGTTTACAGGCAGCGGGAAGCTGCTCGTCGCGAGCGTCCTGGCAGATCAGATAAGCCATCGTCAACGCACGATAGGTAACGTATTGTTACGTGTCGGGTTCATAGAGATATAAGATTAGAGTAGGGGAGATGTAGACTCTACTACAAGTGGAAGTGTCCCTCTAATAGCTTTTCTCACTAATCGCGAATGCGCATTGGCAACCGTAAGCATCTTACTATTTCGATGTGATGCAATTGGATGCCATGCGTCACAAGAGAGAGAGAGAGAGAGAGAGATAGCTAGCGGTCTCTCATCTGCTTTCTCTTTCTACTAGACGGAAACTTTTAGAGCCGCTTTCCCCAGTCTATTCTTATACCTGTATGGTCGGGATGGGGTTCGAAATTATAATGTTAATTCACGCTTGACAGTTCTTTATTCATCACATACTTTAGTAAACCACAGTTCTATAGTAAATACTCGATACTTCACTTACTGTACACTATACAGATAGATAGATAAGTCATTTATTTATATGAACAGCACACATTTTCAAAAAAAAAATAGCAATTTAATAATAAAAAAATAAAGGTCAAAGGTTCCTATAAAGTGTGCCGCAACTCACTGATTTTCAGCTGTAACCAAGTACCTACTTAGGTTAAAAACGGTTCTGGTGCTATTTGTCACACAAGCACAACTAGAGAGAATAAGGGAGAAGAACCAGAAGGAAAATCTAATATATAAAATTCTCGTGTCACGGTGTGCGTAATTGAACTACTCCGAAACGGCTTGACTGATTTTGGTGAAATTTAAACAACCTCTAAAGTACCCCCTAATTAAAATTGATCGCCTCCCTTCTTCAAAGGTCCACATCATCATCATCAGCCTATTAATGTCCCCACTGCTGGGGCACAGGCCTTTCCTATGGATGGAATAGGGCGATTTGGCCATGACCCACCACGCGGGCCCAGTGCGGATTGGCGGGTGCTAACGACTGCAGATGCAGCCGGGACCAACGGCTTAACGTGCCTTCCGAAGCACGGAGGAACTCGAGATAGAATATTTTTGGTCACCCATCCAATGACCGACCACTGCGAAAGTTTCTTAACTTCAACGATCGCAGCCGAACGCGCTAACTACCTGCTCCATCGATCGATCGCCATGCTCCCCCCTTCTGTAATTCTCTTTATATATGTACTATTAATACACCCACGAAGTTTGACCAATTTAAAGTGCCAAAGGAGATTGCTCAAATTGACCCAAATGCACAAAAAATATTGACATATACGGTGATTCTTGGCGTAATTTATAATTTAATTTACAGTCATTAGATTTCAACGGACACCTTTGTATAATATATTTACTTTTAAAAGGACTTTTAATTTTACCGGTTTGGAAAACATACGAATCATTTTTAATGGCTATGGGTGTAGTATTCAGCCAAAGACTGATCGAAGTTGTTTAAATAACATAAAAACAAATCTATTCTGTAAAGATCGATCTAATATATCATTTTTTTTATTACACTGTGGTATTAATATCCACAACTATATTATCATTTTCACTACATGCAAATGTGCTCAGACAATTATTATAGATGGTAGGCGACATCATAAAGTCTATTGCCATACATTTTTCGCCAAACACTGGAGGTGTTTGTTCACCTCCATAAACACATTATGATCTGTATATATGTTAGACTTTAAGGTATCTATCTATGGGCCTACGTTGCCTGACTATAAATTAATAAATAAATAAAATTATAAGGTGTGATACACTAAAAATCTTAAATATGGTTATATTAAAAACATAACAGAAATAATGAAGCTACTGAATATATGGCTATATAACCTAAACCTCTTAGCTTTCTTTGATTAACGAGAGTACACAATCATCACACAGTTTCTGTCACAGAGTACCTTATTATAACCGGAAATGCATAGATGATACCTGATTTTAAAAGTTACGCTTAAGCATTAACTTTAAAAACAGGCAACTATCTGTTAATCTACATGCTCTATATACCTGAATCTAATCCATAATTTCGGTACTTGGCTTCATTTCCCTAGTTTACTATATAACTTATTTGTTTTTTATTATTTTAATATGTTCAGTGTATATGGTTTATGGAAGTTCTCAGGGGTGCCCGTCAATAATATTCGTTTCTACAGTAATTTATACATAATTTCGAATCTAGGAAACAATTTTCATGATTATTGGTCTTTAGGCCAAATATGTATGGAAGCTGAGCAATCTCCTTTTAGAAAGACTGGAGTTTAAAGAGAAAACCGATTTGTCTATTTTATTATTTCTTCACATTCTTAGTTAAAAAATAAAATATTAGTTTTTCAATAGTTTTCTATATTTGTTTGACGTCACGGGTTCGATCCCCGTACGGCACAGATATTTTGTATGGTCTACAGAAATTTGTCCTGGTCTGGGCGTATGTGCAATGTGCATGTGAGATTGTATGTTTGTAATTACATCCACGATATAGAAGAAAATTCTAGTAAAAAATAATATACATATATCAAACCTTGATAGTAGTCAGTCCATCTCATATAGCGATTGATTGTCATATCATTAGAAAAAAGATAATCTATGGTCAATCAAATTATTATGAAGTAGACATTTAGAACTTGTAACCTAAATATGTGTATGCAATTATGATCCTTAAAGTGGTAAACTTTTTCTGACCGCGACCGTATATGTTCATTCTACACACTGAAACTACTCGATTATCCATATTTTGTCCTCAAGAAAATAAGTAAGGACTGGCAGTCTTGGGATCTTACTCTAATATATTCATTTATAATTTTGTTTATAGGGTTGCGTCTCGGTCTAGAAGTCCTGATGGGCGTTATCGGGATCGTCCACCGGCGCGTGTAGACAGAGGAAATGATAGAAGTGGGGTAGAGAAGAATGCAGCCAGGGGTATGAATAGGGGAGGAGACAGGGGACCGGACAGGGGAGATAGGGGTCCGGATAGGGGAGATAGGGGCCCGGATAGGGGAGGGGATCGACCTCGCCCGTCCGCTAGGTCGAACGATAAGCCACGTGAAAGGAAAACTAGGTAAGTTTATTTTCAATCTTAAGTTCTGCATACTAACACTCGCGGTCAATAGGGGAGGAGACGGGGAGAGGACAGAAGGGATAGAGAAGGAGTCAGAGGTGGGTGCAGACCTCGCCCTCCCGCTAGGCCCAATAATAAACCACGTGAAAGGAGGAGTAGGTAAGTTTAGTTTGATCTTAAGTTCTGCATACTAACACTCGGAATCAATAGGAGAAGAGACAGTTGAGGAGGTTAAGGGGATAGAGGAGAAGACAGGGGTGGAGACCGACCTCAACCTCCGGCTAGGCCGAATGATAAACCGCGTAAAAGGAAGACTATGTAAGTTTATTTTGATTTTAAGTTCTGCATACTTAAACTTAATTGTCCAATCCAGTAGCTTTCTTTAAAGGTCTGACGCTTCTTATACTCGGTAGACTAAAACTATTATCGTTTATCAATCACAGCATTTTATCCTAAAGATAAAAAGTATTAAAAAAACGCTGTATTTTGGGTAACATAGAAATACGAATACCTTTTGTTGTCAAATATGCATTTAAACATAAGAAAAGCTATGTCCGCGTTGGATCCGCACACGAGAGTGTATCACTCCTATTAGATGATGATATACTAGATTTATACAGTTACAATGATTTATTCAACTTAGTATGTAGGTAGGCACATAGACCAGTAGAAAACAAGGGTGTGGGTAAGTATATTCACGAGCCGAAACGTGCAATAATGTCTGCTCCACAATCACTGTCCTGAGGTTGTAGGATGCGCCAGCAGGATTTCAGGTAAGTAGTCCTTGCAGCACAGGAAGCAGGTAGTTTGCCCAGGTAGTATGGGTAGGTTGCCCGGGTACTATGGGTAGGTTGGCCGGGTAGTATGGGTAGGTTGCCCGGGTAGTAAGGGCAGGTTGCCCAGGTAGTATGGGTAGGTTGCCCAGGTAGTATGGGTAGGTTGCCCAGGTAGCCGTCTCCTCTCGGTAGTTGAGATTCCAGATGTAGTAGGTACCGGTACGGTGATTCCTGGAACCGTAATAATCTGTCATTTTACAAGTGTCCAGATTTCATGGTTTGTCAGCAACACTTCGTGTTCGCTAAGCTCTTGGAAGCAGGGGGAACAATTGAATGAGATTTGCATTAATAGAATCAATGATGAGGCAAAAATAAGAAAGAATTGAAAGAAAATATGTATAGTCTGTTTCAGGGGCAGGCGGAAAAACGTACAATGACCTTATAGGGGCAAACAACCTTTTTTTCTTTTATTGATAAATTGTATAATTAAAAATAATATAATATTTATATTATTTTTAATTTTTAGCATTAATCTGCTAATTTTAGATGAGGTGCTCGTTAGCGTAGTGGTTAGCGCAGCCGCCCGGATTGCGCAAGGCGCGTGTTTGATAACCACCTGAGCGTTGACCGAATTTATTTTTTCTAGTAAATATATTTTCTTGAGAAAAAATATGAAATAAAAATTATATTTTCTGTTTTAAAAAAGAAGTGTAGTTATGTTATTTTAATTCTTTTTAACGCATTCAAATAAGTTTTTTTTTAATTTTTAATCGCAAATCAGCAACATTAATATAATGGTGGTAGGTTAAGCTATGGCCCCTCTGCGTCTGCATCCGTTTCACTGTCGTCGTTCTCTGATGATGAAGACGTAGAAGAGTCGGTCACATTTATCAGAAAACTGTCTACAGTTTTGTCTATAGCATGATCAACGCCGTTTAATTTTGTTTCCTCCTTGATTACGTTATCGACACAGTTTTTCCACTTTGTTTCATCAATTTTATTAAGGCCTTCTTCTAGCAACCGTTTGACATCTGTCATTTTAAAAGTGATATTATTTCGAGCCACGTAACCTTTAACATCGGCCCACACAAGCTCAATTGGATTAAGCTCGCAGTGGTATGGCGGCACCCGTAGTACTTCTGTACCCCTCTGTTTTGCCATTTCGTCGGTAACGTACGACACATACCTCTCTTTAACAGCTTTAACTTTTGCCAGTAATTCGACTTTTGTTTCCTTTTCGTAGAATAAAATTTCTTTTGAAGCAAGCCATTCTTTTATGTTTTGTTTTTTTCCAACTTGTGACGGGCAATCGTTCTTGGCGTCTGGAATGGTAAGTAGCGTTTTCCATCACGATGACAGCGTTTGCATCGACTTTTTCGAGGACATTTTTAAACCAATTTTCAAAACCTTCGGCGTTCATAGTTTCGTGGTAATCTCCTGTTACTTTATTTTCAAACACCCACTGACTTCCCGGCAGAAAACCCTTATCGTTTCCTATGTAGACAACAATCAAGCGATTTCCTTTTGATGTTGGATTTTTCGCTCCTGTTGATAAACCTTCCAAAAAAGCTTGTTTTACTGATTTCACCTTCGTATCTTCCCAAGCTTTACTAACAGTGTGACCTGAAAAATAATATAAGTAGGCTCATTATTTTTGGTCTTGCATCTTTAAAAATAGCTATTTATGCAACTGTTGCATAATGAGGGGTATTTAACACGAGTGTGGTTTATGAAACGAGCGCAAGCGAGTTTCATAAAAGTATACACGAGTGTTAAATACTAATTATGTACAGTTGCATACAGTAGTCATACAACAAATTTAAATTAAAGACAAAATAAAGTAATCATTGTTTATTGTAATAATTATTGACATTTTGTATGGTACAATTATTAAAGGTTATATTTGCGGATGGAACCGATCCTTCTCGAGCATTTATAGTAGATGTAGATGGGATATTTATATTCAATGTATTTTTTTCGATGGAATTCAGTATTTGATTCGACACTTGAATCTTGTTGGCTATTGACTCATCAATATATCCCTCTGCTACAGTCGTAGATTTCCATCCACCATGTCTTTTTAAAGTTGTTATATCTCCACCAGAGTCCACTAACAATGTCGCAGACGTCCTGCGAAAGCAGTGCCCCGTAAATAATTCTGGATTGGGAAGATCTAGATAATTTGCAATCACTTTTCCAAGATAACCAAACTTATTAATGCCGATTCTTTGTGTGGTACATTTTCCAGCTTGGAAGTTTAGAAAAAAATAAGGGCTGCTGCAGGGATTTGGGCGTAGTTCTATGTATTTTCTACATACTTCGTAATAACAGCCCGTTATATAGAAAGAGCGGCTTATCTTTGTTTTAGTGTTGTAAATATTGACTAAAATGGTGGTTTCAAACACTTGTACATCTTTAAACTGAAGATTGTATAACTCCTGTCTTCGGCACGCACCCATTATTCCAAAGGTGAGTGCAGTCTGTAACAATATTATGAATAAATAAGGTTTATGTAGATAAGTAGTGTCAATAACATTAAACAATCATAATAAACAATAAGTATCTGCCTACCTTTGAGAAAAGATATATCTTATCGGGTGCTTCGCTCATAAACTTTTTTATCTGGTCAGGTGAAAAGGTTTTCGACTTTTTCCCTTTGTATCCCTCTGATTTTCTTTTGAGGAAAGCAATTAGCTTTGAATATTTTGTCATGTCAATGTTGTGATGAATTCCCAATGTACTTTTGAGCATTGAGAATTTAGTCCACAAAGTTGGAGATTTTAGTTTTTCTGACATCTCTTGAAAATACACAAGTAAGACATTTTCAGAATATGATGTAGTGTTTTTCTTCATTCTCCAATCCATGAATTCTTCATAGGTTTTTTCGTATATCTTCCTTGATTTTTCTGGGAGAAGATTATTTGTCATTTTAGTTGCTGTTTCAAGAATATCCGGGGGTGTCAAATTTTCGTCTATATAACTATCAGTTTCAGACATTTTACTGGGTTTTTAGTAAAAAAACTTGTAATAACGCATTACTTATTACAACGAATAACGAATTACATATTAAACAAATTGCAAAAGGAAAAATACAAACGTTAATGGCGCGAAAATAAATTTGCAGTAATATAGCACCGCGCATGCGCGCCGCCAAGGGTGCGTTCCGAAACACGCTAGTGTGCTCAAATAGCAAGCATCTGCGTAAAAATTTAAAAAAAAAACTTCATTTTGTTACAACTTTGCGATAACGAAATGAAATTTGTATGGATCCTTAGTCACGGCTCCATCGAAAGGTATATCATTTGCTTAGCGTTTCTGATAAGTAAATGAAGGATTTACGACATGAGTGTAGATAAACTAACAATTTAAGTATAACTAACGTGACTATACGTCCCGTTTTGAGTCGGAACAGGCTTTAAGGCTGTCTGTTATTTTTTTAGGTTTAGTTTTTCAACGCGTTTATAACAAGCCATTACACCATCTAAGTCATTTTTAATAAATTCTATAGGACTCACCTGCATTAACCCATGGTTCATCTAAATAATATATAGGTCGTCCTTCTTCTCTGAATTTTTGAATTTTTTTGAGGTACTTAATGCGCCATAAAACTATGTCGTGTCTTTCAATAAAGGCGCTGTTTCTTTTCTTTTTAATGTATTTAAACTGTAAGGCTTTTAACAGGCGCCACAGCGATGTACGGCTGAAATTAGGTAACATGTCGTCTGAATTGACAGCCTGTAATATTTTATTTAATGTTGGCATCTCTCCTTTTAAATAAAATTCGTGCACTTTTTTTCTAATGCACGACTTGTCAAAGTCATCAACACTCTCAACCAAATTAGGACGCCTTTTTGGAGAGGCAGGTGGCTTCACTATATCGGTTTCTTTATATTCCCGTAAAACACTGTAGACGGAAGTTTTTCCAATGCCTAAAATATCCGCAGTCTTCTTTTTCATATCCATTTTGGATGGATATTTGTCACTAGGCCACGTTTCTTTTACATATTTAAAAACATTGATAATCATAATTTTTTCGTTTTCCGAAATATGCGACATCTTACGCTTCTTTCGTGGTGACAGAAAACTTTTAAACGATTTTGATGTCGACGGGGCCGGCTCCATATCGCTTGAAAAACGATATTCGTTGTAATACAAAACCAATATAACAAAAAACTTAACACAAATCGTAACAAACAAAATTAACATAAACTTAACACAAAACCTAACAAACTAAATTAACAATAACAAAATGAATAACAAATGATCGAAATTAAAGGAACGATAAACAAAACCAACCACACTCGAGCGCATTCCAAAGCGGAATGCGTGTTGCTCCGCTCCCTCCACAACCCACGTCAACGCAAATCCCAAACAGGTTTTTAAACTCTGAACGACCGCGTCGCTCAACTCACCCCGTACCACGAAACACGGTACGATGCTTGAGCGATACAGAAATATATAACGAGCTATACGTATCGTTTTCTGTCGACAGTAACATAATACTTCGGGCCAATGCCCTTTTTTCCGCCTGCTTTAGAAACATACTATAGGTAAAAACATAATAAGTACGTATAACAAAAAATATGATTTATCGAATAAAGATTCGAAACGTTTTACAAAGTAGGAATCGTGAAATTTTCACGATTCTAATACTAAAATATATTTTACATATTTTTAAGTGGATAACAACAAGTGACACATGAATAAAGTAAATTAATCAACTACATAATAAAAAACTTAAGCCCGTAAGCCGTAACGCGTAAGGTACACACTGCAAAGCCTTATAGGAAAATCTAATTTATTTAATAAACTAGTAAAATGATCCTTAACTGATTTAATGCAACAATAATGATCTACAAAACTAGAATCACTTTCTAAGTACTACTGCATTTTCTAATTACAACCAGCAGCTTGTAACTACAATAAACGATTGCAACAATCACCCAATCCTTGGGGAACACTATAATTATATTTGTTTACAACTAGAAAAATCTTTTCTTTTAATAATGGATAATGGCCAGAAGTAATTTAATTTGTATGCAACAGAAGTGAAACAATAAAAAACAATCATATAAAATGAAAAATGGTGTCAGGAACCTAAACATGATTTTCGATTATCTAGACAATGATACCCCACTCGACGTATTTCGGCAACTTATTTTTTTTTCTTTCTCACAATATGGCGCCCAGTTGTCTCCATATTGATTTTTGATTATTATCATATCTTTAGTAGCACTCCCATGATTGAGACGAATCGATTGATGTATGAATCATCAAAATCGGTCCAGGCCTTTGGTCTCTAGTGTGCCACAAAGGAACAAACATACATATATAGACTGTTAAACACATAACCCTGTCTGCGCGTCGCGCTTCGCGCTCTTGCATTGCGCAGTCGGGTAAAAAGAGCCCGTATTTAAAGATGACGAAATAACAGTCTTACAGCCGTCGCACAGTCGTCATAACGTATCAATTTTATATTCGACATATCGCGACCATCGCCTTTATCGTTGGAGTTTCTTAACAAGCGATAGCTCCCGGGTTTGCCTTGGAATGATATTTTTTTTATATAGAATATTAGTGGTCGACGAATATATATAGTTAATAATGATGGAAATAGTTATAATAAATTGTTTTGTTAGTTTTTTTTGTTAAGTTTCAGGCCATTACGTTACAAGGGTTTCCTTACAAAAGAAGTTTCAACATTTGTAATACGAAGTATATATGGAACAAGGGTGTGCCAATATATATTACCAAAAATTATTAACGAGCTACCTACAGAGCTACAATTATTGTATACTACTTGTAATAACATTTGTAAAATAAAAAATAAACTTAAAAAACACTTTAACAGTAATTCAGGAGGAACTTCAGCAATATGTATAACCTAGTTAGCATATAAGATTGAGCAAATTGTAAGATTTTATTTGATTTCAATTATATAGTACCTAAGTAAACTTAAGATCAACATCTATATCTTCAACTTCTGCTACGGCGGATGCTACATATTAACAATCCATTAAGTGGATTAGATATGTATAAATATGCAATTGTTGCAATAAATAAAAAAAAAAAAATAGTTCAGGTCGATCATTCGTAACGTTTTTGTTATACATCCCTACAATCTCTTACGTATAGGTTTAATAGGCTTTAGAAATATTTAGAAACATAACTGCTATTACAGGATAAGAGTTGATGAGAATTTATAGGTTAGTTCTGCTGTCTGTCCGTTCGTATGTCTGTTAAGAGACATACGAACGGACAGACAGCAGAGGCTTATTTAAGGGTCTGTTGTCACCCTTTGGGGCACGGAACTTTGAAAACATTGATGTGACAATAATGACGAAGTTATTTCAGATTTGGTGAAGCAGATGACAAAGAATATACCTGGGGCAAAACAGAAGTGAAGAAAGAAGGTGATAAAAACCCAGGTGATAAAGAAAAACCAAACTTTGGACTGTCAGGAAAGTTGACTGCTGACCAAAACACTGTCAATGGTGTGGTCATCAAGTACACGGAACCCGATGACGCTAAACAACCTAAAAGACGATGGAGGTAAACATAATAAACAATATTTAAACTATAGTTTTTCTTCTTTTTAGGGTTCCGTACCTCAAAAGGAAAAAACGGAACCCTTATAGGATCACTTTGTTGACCGTCCGTCCGTCTGTCTGTCAAGACCGTTTTTCTCAGGAACGCGTTGAAGGTATCAAACTAAAATTCATATCTAATACTCATGTCTACTGGCCCTTGGAGCTGTGAAAAAATCAAAATTCTGAGCCAAAGCAATCAAAAGATGCAGCCGTTTATGCCGCAAATTTCTGCAAATTTTCGAAACTCGCACGGGAATCAAAACCTATAGGGTACTTCCCGTGAACTTAGAATCTTGAAATTTGGTACGAAGTAACGTCTTATAGTACAGATAAAGGAAAAAATGCGAATACCGTAAAATTTAGTTACATCATATAATAAAAAATGTGTTCTCTTTTCTCATGAACGCGTAGAGGTATTAAATTGAGTTTGTACGGAACCCTCGGTGCGCGAGTACGACTCGCACTTTGCCGGTTTTTTTAAAGTAAATAGCCTTTGTGAGTTATAACATCTCTATTCGTTAATAGGCCGATAATGATCTAAAGATGTTTGTAATGATATGGCTGAACGAATTTATTTTATCAAGCTCCTATCTTCGGAAGTCGCGTTAATTTTTCAGTTCTTTTTTTTTTTTCAAAAAAAGTTTTCAGCTGTTTCTGTAGTCATTACACTCACTAATACGCACTGCGGCCAGGAGTAAGAACATTAATAGGCTGAAGATGATGTACTTATGATATGAGGAGCTGGCGAACAAAACGGTATAATTACGCATCTGGTAAAACTACTTTCTTTTTACGGTCGGAGGTTTTGGTCCCGCTTAATTTGAATTTCAACTCATTTTCAATCAAAACCGCCTAAAACAGTCTTTATATTATTATTTTTTCTAATAAAAACCAGGCTAAAAGCTCACTGTAGGTATGTCATACAGTTTTTTACTGCTTCTGTAAAATTTTATTTTATGTTATTATACCGTTTTGTTCGCCAGCTCCTCATATATCTTTAGTCTTTCTGTTGTAATATAAGCTTTAGGAAGATCAAACACCTTACCTTTTGTCCAGGTTCTACCCGTTCAAAGGCGATAAGGCGTTGCCTATCCTCTACATTCACCGTCAATCGGCATTCCTAATCGGGCGGGATAAAAAAGTTGTAGACATCGCGTTGGAACACCCGTCTATCAGTAAACAGCACGCGGCGTTGCAGTTCCGCGCTACTCCGTTCACTAGACCCGATGGATCGCAGGGGAGGAGAGTGCGGCCATACGTCATCGATCTGGGTATGTTAAACAACAAAGTTAACGGGCAATTTTAGGCGTTGAATCGTGTTAGAACACCCGTCGATCAGTAAACAGCACTAGGTGTTGCAGTACCGCGCTACTCCTTTCACTAGACCCGATGGATCGCAGGGGAGGAGAGTGCGGCCATACGTCATCGATCTGGGTATGTTAAACAACAAAGTTAACGGCCAATTTTAGGCGTTGAATCGTGTTAGAACACCCGTCGATCAGTAAACAGCACTAGGTGTTGCAGTACCGCGCTACTCCTTTCACTAGACCCGATGGATCGCAGGGGAGGAGAGTGCGGCCATACGTCATCGATCTGGGTATGTTAAACAACAAAGTTAACGGCCAATTTTAGGCGTTGAATCGTGTTAGAACACCCGTCGATCAGTAAACAGCACTAGGTGTTGCAGTACCGCGCTACTCCTTTCACTAGACCCGATGGATCGCAGGGGAGGAGAGTGCGGCCATACGTCATCGATCTGGGTATGTTAAACAACAAAGTTAACGGCCAATTTTAGGCGTTGAATCGTGTTAGAACACCCGTCGATCAGTAAACAGCACTAGGTGTTGCAGTACCGCGCTACTCCTTTCACTAGACCCGATGGATCGCAGGGGAGGAGAGTGCGGCCATACGTCATCGATCTGGGTATGTTAAACAACAAAGTTAACGGCCAATTTTAGGCGTTGAATCGTGTTAGAACACCCGTCGATCAGTAAACAGCACTAGGTGTTGCAGTACCGCGCTACTCCTTTCACTAGACCCGATGGATCGCAGGGGAGGAGAGTGCGGCCATACGTCATCGATCTGGGTATGTTAAACAACAAAGTTAACGGCCAATTTTAGGCGTTGAATCGTGTTAGAACACCCGTCGATCAGTAAACAGCACTAGGTGTTGCAGTACCGCGCTACTCCTTTCACTAGACCCGATGGATCGCAGGGGAGGAGAGTGCGGCCATACGTCATCGATCTGGGTATGTTAAACAACAAAGTTAACGGCCAATTTTAGGCGTTGAATCGTGTTAGAACACCCGTCGATCAGTAAACAGCACTAGGTGTTGCAGTACCGCGCTACTCCTTTCACTAGACCCGATGGATCGCAGGGGAGGAGAGTGCGGCCATACGTCATCGATCTGGGTATGTTAAACAACAAAGTTAACGGCCAATTTTAGGCGTTGAATCGTGTTAGAACACCCGTCGATCAGTAAACAGCACTAGGTGTTGCAGTACCGCGCTACTCCTTTCACTAGACCCGATGGATCGCAGGGGAGGAGAGTGCGGCCATACGTCATCGATCTGGGTATGTTAAACAACAAAGTTAACGGCCAATTTTAGGCGTTGAATCGTGTTAGAACACCCGTCGATCAGTAAACAGCACTAGGTGTTGCAGTACCGCGCTACTCCTTTCACTAGACCCGATGGATCGCAGGGGAGGAGAGTGCGGCCATACGTCATCGATCTGGGTATGTTAAACAACAAAGTTAACGGCCAATTTTAGGCGTTGAATCGTGTTAGAACACCCGTCGATCAGTAAACAGCACTAGGTGTTGCAGTACCGCGCTACTCCTTTCACTAGACCCGATGGATCGCAGGGGAGGAGAGTGCGGCCATACGTCATCGATCTGGGTATGTTAAACAACAAAGTTAACGGCCAATTTTAGGCGTTGATTCGTGTTAGAACACCCGTCGATCAGTCAACAGCACTAGGTGTTGCAGTACCGCGCTACTCCGTTCACTAGACCCGATGGATCGCAGGGAAGGAGAGTGCGGCCATACTTCATCGATCTGGGTATGTTAAACAACGAAGTTAACGACCAATTTTAGCCGTTGAATCGTGTTAGAACACCCGTCGATCAGTAAACAGCACGCGGCGTTGCAGTACTGCGCTACTCCGTTCACTAGACCCAACGGATCGCAGGGGAGGAGAGTACGGCCATACGTCATCGATCTGGTTAAGTTAAACAACAAAGTTAACGGCCCATTTTAGCCGTTGAATCGTGTTAGAACACCCGTCGATCAGTAAACAGCACGCGGCGTTGCAGTACCGCGTTACTCCGTTCACTAGACCCGATGGATCGCAGGGGACAAGAGTGCGATCTGGGTATGTATCATCAACTAAGACGTTCAGATGACATATGGGCTGGGTTCAGGCCGGCAAGGTGAATATGAATGGAGCCGCACACCTTCTGACATCTATCTTCGAGACTGAATTCCACTAACATTTAACATCAGCTGAGGTATGGTATTTTGTTGCGCCTCATATAAAAAAATACAACATCTCTTTGTTTTTGCTCCGTGGTGCAAAAGCAGCACTCCTGCGTTCTACTCCAGCGCTCCTTGGTTCGCATCCTGATAATGACATTTATTTGGGTTATAAGCCAATATATGTTTTGGAATCAATGTTATATACGTTAGTTTGTTTCAAGTGCAGGCTCTACGTACTTTAATAACTGTTGTGACTTATCCATAATTTATTCGTTTTACCCGCAGATTCCGCGAACGGCACCTTCGTGAACAACAAAAAGATAGATGGTCGCCGTTATGTGGAGTTATTAGAGCGCGACGTAGTAAAGTTCGGGTTCTCGCAACGTGAATACGTTCTTTTACACGAGAACAGTAAGGATGACGCCCAAGACGACGATAACGATGCCCCGCCGGTCACTACCACAGACCAGATCAAGCAGGAGAAACGAGTCAAACAGGAATTGGTGGAAGACGGCGATTAACTAGAAAGATAAAATCAAATTTTAAAGGATAACAAGAAGGACTTCCTTGAGTTTAGCCTGACGTAATATCATCTTAATCTCTCATAATATACTGTAGAACGCCGATTATCCAAATTAACCGACCGGAGTCGATTCGGATAATCAAAAATGCGGATAATTAATCGGACATGGACTGGTAATAAAGAAAAACGAACTGTCACACATAGAATAAACTTCATTAAGTTTAACAAATACAGTTCTACAATACTAGATACAATAACAGAGGTACATAGTAGCAAAACAAAGACAAAAATAAGAACCGTAAACCATGTAGTGTCTTGCCTCTAGCTTTCAACCATAACAGTTGAAATATATCTGGACTCCAGCGAGTTCCAACTTGTCAGAACAAAAAAAATTTAGTTTGTTTTAATTTTTTGATTCGGTTAATCGGCGTTCGGATAATCGGCGTTCTATTGTACCGCTTTCTCCAGACACAAATTTAATTTATGGCGCGGATCCGCGTTCCGTCACTCTAAACGCAAAATGCCGGCACTTAGCTATACGTGTTTACTATTTATAAACTTGATATCAGTCTGTCCTTTTCATTCCTTATAAAGCACGATCAGAACAGACTGTTGGTCAGTTTACAAATAGCAAATACGAATAGCCAAATTGAGTGCTGGTATGAGATTCAGTCGGCACCCTTAATTAATAAAATCTATGTGTTATATATGTTTAGAAAAAACAGTTTCTTTTTCTAGTGATATCAAATGTCGAAGGCACAAGTATGGGTTTATGTTAGGTAAAAGATGCAATCGCAGAAGTTGAAAAAGATATTAAACTATTATGTATATACTATCTCGAGGATCGTTATAATGAAAGAATAACATTTTTGCATTTTCTCCTACCAAATATCGGATCCATGTTCTTTTTGTTTTAATAGTGTATTTATTAAGTTTCAAGAGTTCTTCTCATCTATATATATCTAGTTCAAAATCTTTTTAGAACGTATATGTCTGTATTTGGATACGGAGTATGCAGGGTGACGTATCTGTGACGAATCAAATATTTTTAAAATGCCTGTAAGCAGTTCGAGACCCAAACACAAATGTTGACAGCTCCGTAATCGTATCGTCATCATCAAATGTATGGAAGGACCCAGTTTCTTCTAACGTCCGGTAGGGGCGCCGCTTAGTTTTCATAGAAACTTTGGCGATGCGATATGATTACGGAGCTGTGCTGTCAAAATTCGTGCTTAGGCCTCAGTTAAATCTCAATCATCCTTGCTTACTTCATCGTCATTTAGGAATTTCAAAAGTCCTGACAAAAATCCTGACATTTCAAAAAAGGCCGGACTTTTTAGTCACAAAATGGTACTATTACTCACTTAGTTACAATGGTACGGTATTTAAAGTAATATGTACTTTTATTATTCATATTCAATGTAATTCAAAAAAATTCGGACCATTTAAAGATCCGGACAAAGTACGGACTATAGTCTAAAAGTCCGGACATGTCCGGACTGATCAGGACGAATCGTGACCTTACCTCAATAGGACCACACATTGCTTGTGTATTGCATCTTTACCGCATGCTAATTAATTAACTCATCCTTACGGTATCCCCGATCCGCCTACTTATTCGCGAGCTATCGGAATAGGATTTGGCAGTGATTATACGTTTATCTATTAGTAGATAACCTCTCCTATGGTCTAGAAGGTTAAAATATCTTTGTCAATATTTGCTGTACGTCTCGATCAATGTTCCATGTAGGTAGGTATGTAATAAGTATCGATTGCAATACGCCGTGATGTTGTTTTAATTTTTATTCTTCAGTCAGAATCTATTGGAATTGAAACACCAAAACTTCTTTTCCGCTTTCTTCCTATTGTGTAGTGATTCCTTATTAGATTTAAGTAAGTTTACAATGTTTGTATGCTAAGTTACTATAAACTTGTAAGACGTTTTAAAACCGAATATGTTTTTAAGATACACACAATATGTATTGACACGGTTACATTGAAAACGAAGAATCTTAATTTATATCTTACATATCAAGTGTTGGTTATTGTCTCAAACACAACCAAATATAAGGATGAAAACTAGAACTTTCGGTAATAAACATTATTTTATACTTAACAGAGGATTTTTTTCTCTTATCAAAAGTAGAGAAAAACCATTGTGATATAAATTATAGTATAGACCGCGCCAATCTTCTAGTTCGCTCTGAACACTGCACAATTCGCGTCGTAATAACAAAAGACAGGTATTTAAAGTGACGAAGGTTGTGTTTAGGGCTGTACACCTGCGCGAAACAACTTCAGAGCGGACTAGAAGTTTGGCGCGATCTATAATAACTTTGTATATGTGAATAATTAATGCAGTTTCTCTTTGAAATTACTTTTATGTAAAATTATCTTGTAACAGACTACTACAATTATAAAGCCTTTGATTTGCTGATTAGTTACTTTGTTTTTATTTTTTTGTGTAATTAAATAACTTCTTTGTTTATAAAATCGAGTTGTAGTAGATGTTTGAAAGCTAAATTATTATGAACTTAGTTACACTTTAATATGACATAACTTAAGATAATCATAAAAAAAATGAAGGAAATAAAGTTTCATGTTATATTTTGTGCATAACATATTTCGAAATATTGTGCAAGTGTAGGTTTAAAAATATTACATTTTTTTTGTTAAGAATTTGTAAAAACAAATGGGTAATTATTTTAAGGTTTTTTTAAGCAAATTGCCAAGTGGACGTTATAATTGTTGAGGATTATAAAGACGACATAAAAGGATCATAATAATCAGACTCAACTCAATAAAAAAATATTACTTTCGAGTGTAAAGGTACTATTACTTATGTTTTTCATTTTGTTACTAGAATTTATCAAAGTAAAAATACTTACTGATTGTATTTTTGACACTGAAATGTCAGTATAATTCATAGTTGGTAAATAAAACATATTGTTGTAAATATCTCTTATCATTTATTCTTATCCAAATCAGACAACTAGACTCATGGAGCAAGTAGTTTATAGGAATTACATACAAATGCATTGTCAACATTCACCTTTGGTCATAGTATTAATGGTCAAAGATTAATTTGAATTTGAGATACATCAAACTGACTCTCCTATACTAATATATACAACCACTGACTATTTACAGTTACACAATAAAAATAAATAATGTTTAAATATTTTATCTACATTCTACACGCTACAAAACGCTCGTTCTGTGGGTGGATAATGTAAAAAAATCTTGATTAAAAATTCTAATATCACAGTTCAAAATGTAGTCTTGAAAATGTGTTTATCGAAGTTGGGGTCGAGTCGTGCTATTTCTCGTGACGAGCAGGGTCGCGAGTCGCGAGTTAGCGCGCCAATCTGACTGCCGTCGCAGAAAGAAGCTCGCTTCACGATTCCATTTCGTAAGCTACGTATGGTCGCATTTGGTGGTCGCGTGTTGGTACGAAGCGAATGTGTTCTATATAGCGGGGGTTTAATCAGTCTATTGGGTGCGACGCCTACTATACTGTGCCTAGAGAAAGGCGCGCAAGTTATTGGACTCCTTGGGATTTCGTAGCCGTCGCATACTATGCCCGATCCAGAGTCGCTGTCGTGCATCAAGTCTAGATACTTTAGCGTACTGCCCGGCAGCAACCTTGAAGGCTCCATTTGATGCTCCGGTAAGTCGTCATCTGAAATAGAGAACGGTATACTAAACAAGGTGTACTTATGGTTTGCTCCGTAAGTCATGAATGTATGAGACGAACCTAAATATGCGTTGTCATTCTCGTCCAGCAGGTAGGTGCGGTTGTCGATGGCGTCTGATCATGCGGCACATGCACAATACAATATTTATGGTTAGTTGGTTCACAAGACAATGACTTTCCTGTAATCGCAATAGCATGCATTCATAATTATTAATTGCAAAATTGAGTAGTATTATTATTATTTACTATTGAGGTATTTTAAGGATGATGCAGGCACTTTAGGCGATATTGATGTGACAGACTGAAAACACTTCGGAAAAAAGTGTTTTTGCCTTTGACTGTCGATGTGAATATCAGAGTATCAAGCATTCGGCATTCCGGCGGCATTATAGTCATGGGATTGAATTTTATGTAGGGTGAGCACGTCAGGTTATCCATCCAATAGGTACTCAAAACGAATGAATTAAAAATATATTATGTGATATTTATAGGCTTTGGAAGGCACGTTAAGCATTGGTCTGCGTCTGCATTGGTTAGCACCCACAAATCGACACTGGGCGCGCGTCGTGGCTCATTCTTCGTATGCCATCTTTATAGAAGGTCTGTGCCCCAGCAGGGGTATAAGCAGCAGGACATTAAAAGGTTGAGGATGATGATTAAACTTAAGATGGGTTTAAATTTAAAGCACGTGACTATATATGGAGGAGTTCGATGGCGCAGGTATAAAGCGCGTTCGGCCTGCGATCGTGGAAGTTAAGCATCTTTCGCAGTGGTCGGTCAATGGATGGGTGAACAAAACCTTTTAATAATCTTTTCGAGGTGTATTAAGCCGTTGGTCCCTGCTGCATATGCAGTCACGATAGCACCCACCAAATCGCACTGGGCCCGCGTGGTGGGTCATGACCCGATCTCCCTATTGCGTCCATTGGGATGGCAAGTGTCCTAGCAATGGGGACATCAATAAGCTGATGATGATGATGTGGACCTTTGACCTACAAATCTGTTATCAAAGGTGTGAACTGACCGTCGGCTAGCAGCGTGAGGTAGGGCGCGTGGCCGGGCGTGGCGGTGAGGCGGATGTTGGGCGAGGTGCGGTCCCGCAGTGACGTCACCACCTCCAGGCACTCGCGGAACGACGGCCGCGCCTCCGCCGAGTAGCTCCAGCACCGCTGCAGCAGCTCGTAGCTGTAGGTCGTGTGATAACATAAGTTACTTAGTGTCTAGTAGTACAGAAAAGTCTATTAAAATATATTTAAATCAAAAAAACTCGCATAGACGACATTTCTACAACTCGGCAAACTGTGCACGAGCGGTTCGCTGGAGCTCATATAGCGTCAGTGGCGGTATTTTGTGAAGGACAAGCGTTTTTATAGCGCGTTATTCATTTGTCGTAATTTTTATCGAATTTTAATACGTTATTCTTTGAAGTTTTGTTTCATGTTATGTATACGGATCACAATATAACTAATCAATAAGTTAACTATGACCTAAAATCGAAATTTTTAGAATATGCGAATTAAGTAGGTACTGCCTATAACTTTTATGGAGCATAATGTACTAAATAATAGGCCTTATTTTTAACTCTAGGCTTTAATAGGAATGATGTTGAATATGATCTAGACTCATTTGTACCTATGTCCTAATTGCCAGTAAAACTGATTATAAAGTCACCTCTACTATGTAGTACCTATAGATGTAAGGCCGGTTTAAAACCAATTAAACCAATCCATTTAAAATCGAAATAAACCATTTTTTTTCGATTTAAAATGGTTGGTGTTAATGATGTCAACACCAAAAATAAAATGAAAAAAATGTTGGTATTGTGTTAATGATGTCTTATATTTTAATCTAGTGTGTGTTATATAGTATATGTATAATAAATAAGTGCTTAAGTATGAAGGTACCTACATACCTACTTAAATTTCCATGGTACCTAGGTAATGTACGTAGGTACTTTCTATTGATTTTCTTTATACGAACCATGACGTCAGGTGACCAAAAATTTACCATAATGAAGTGTAAAAACATAGGTAGTTCTTTTATTTCTGTATGCCAGTTTTCAATCGTTTAAAACGATTTATTTGGGGTTTAAAACGGCAACATTTTGTTTAAAACGTTTTAAATCGGTTGTTTTACATTTATAGTAGTACCTACTTATTATCATATTTGTTAAACGTCAATAAATAAATAATACAGTGCATCTATATCGTAGAAACTTGTTTTATTTACTTATGATCAGTAAGTCTAATTAATGTTTCTAAGCAAATTATGCTACCTACTTATTTTGTTATAAGGCCTTATTTAGTTACCTTTCTTGCCTATCAAAATATCTTCATTTTTTAATATTTTAATAATATTTTTGTGAAGAAATGTCAATTTGCTGAATTTTATGTACCTTAATGTTTTTTTATATTATTCTTTAAATTCAAATTCAAAAATCATTTATTCAGTTTAGGATTTTACAAGCACACGTGAAAGTCGAAAACAACACCATCGGTTCGCAAAACTGCCGGAGACCTTGTACGGAGAAGAAGCGGCAAGAAACTCAGCAAGGGCTGCTTTTTCTTTCTGTTTTATTTCATACAGTGTCGTCAAATTGAAAGCTGACATCAAACTTGCAAACATGTGTTGAGTCAACTTCCATCACATAATGTCAAATAGGTAAAAATAAACAATCAATTTACTAACAATAAGTGTAAAGAGACGTCCCAAAATAGCATTTAGTTTTTATTTCTTGTTAATTTACGACTTCAAATCTGACTAGCAATTTAAGCAAAATATCTAGTAAAATAAGTTAGAGTTTTGTTCAAGGATTCCATGGAAACACTTGACTAAAAGCTCAGAAATATATATTTTAATATAATTTATACTCTAATAACAATATTCCTATAATTTAAGTACATCAGCTTTGTAAAGTTACTTTGTTTTAATAAGGCCTAAGGCTAAGGTTACAGAATTATCTCTTTCCAAGTGATTTCTGATAATAAATTGGAATATGTTTTGTTAATTACTTAAAATTTATGAACCAATGAATAATGGCTTACTTTTATTAATGTTTGAGTGTTTGAAATTAGGTAGGCCTTATTTGTATCACTTACTTTACCTAGGGTAGGTAGGTAGAGTGATGTAGGTGCACACGGGATGTCAATGAAACCCGCGCATAGTTGCGCTCGCTCGCTGCTAACTTTCCATTCTCTATGAATATGTATCATTTATTGGTGGGCGAAAAGGGCGGCCGGCCGTGGCATATTAAACGATCCAGGTTAATAAGCAGCACTCACAAGGCGGAGGGGCAGTTGGGTGGGCAGTCGGGCGTGCCGCCGTCGCGCACGTAGCTCAACACCTGGCGGTTGGTGCGCGCCGGGTACGGTTGCTGGCCAAGCGACAGCACCTGCACACCACAATCACCTTAAATGGCCATTGGCATATCCTAGGTCGCGGAAGGAAGGCACGTTAAGTCGTTGGTCCTGACCACATCTGCATTCGTTAGCATTCAACAAACTAAAGTTGGCCCGCATGGTGGGTGGTGGCCCTTTCTCCTTATTCCATTCTTAGGCAAGGCCTAGCAATGGGGACATTAATAGCCTGACGATGAAACTAGTATAAAATTAACATTTCATATGTTGCTTTACCTTCCTTGCAGTCATTTATTAAAAAAATAAAGAAATAAAAAACAGGTTGCACAAGATGTTTGGATTACTTCTCAAGATAACCTAATAGTAAAAAGACACTGGAACTTTATGTTAAAAAAATCTTATAGGTTGCTATCAATCATGTAGGTAGAAATGATTAAAATGATAACGTACCTCCCAACACAGTACACCCCAAGCCCATACATCAGATTGGCAAGAGAACACTCCGTCTATCAGGCACTCTACCGCCATCCACCGCACTGGCAGTAAACCTTCACCCTCCTTTCTGTAATAGTCATTCTTATAAATGTCTCTGGCCAGTCCAAAGTCGCCGATCTTGACGACGCGGCCGTTGGAACGGTGAGCTACCAGGCAGTTGCGACAAGCAAGATCTCGGTGGACGAAGTGCATCTCTTCCAGGTAACGACAGCCTTTCGTTACGTCCACGCACATATTCAACAGGTCGAGGAGAGTCAACGACTCGGGTGTGTACTGAAAAAATGTGCGTTAGATTAGTCAGTCAATACATGAAGAATTTACATTGAGGAGTTTAAGAGGAAGTTTTTACTGTTATAAAAAAGGCTCTATTAACTAAAGAGTGGACTGTAATTTGATCGATGCAGCTGTCACTTAGAGTAATAAATGCAGATTTTTCGTCATCGTAGTGTAAAGACTCATAGATAGTTGTGAGATCCGAAATATTTTGAAAATGATTCCAGTTAGGCGAATGAGGTTAGATTCACGCACTTGTTGCGTCAAGTGCTCCTGTAAATTTCTTGAATTCATTGTAATCCTTCCATCATCTTCATCATTGTCAATTTTTTTAATACAGTTAAAACGTTGGTCGTATGCCTTCTTAAAACAGTGGGTAAGTAAATCTTCTTTATAATATAAAACTATCATACCAGTGAAACTCTCTTCTTCCTGAGGTAGCTGAGTAAGTCTCCACCCTCCATGAGCTCCATGATAATGTAGTTTGGGTCATTGTCCAGGCATACGCCTAACAGTCGCAGAATGTGTTCGTGCTTGAAGTTGGACATCAATGCGGCTTCTTTTAAGAATTCAGTCTTCTCTTGCTCCGTCGCTCCTTTGCGTAATGTCTGTGGACACAGTTACCCAACAGCTCATATATTGATTCCTATTTCAGCTAAAGACTGGGTGGGTACATCATAGCAGCTCTGCTCAGAGTTTTCGGTATTTAGAGCTAATAATTTGAAAACTAACTAGTATTATCATTTATTCATCTGAGTGTTATTTAATTTGAAAATATTGAAAACTGGAAACCAATTCATAAGCTTAATTTTGATAACAACATTTCAACTGACATAGTCCCAAATTATACAACATAATTGCTCTACACTAAATTTAAAAAAAACTAATAGTGACAAAAAAGAAATCCACTTTTTCTTTATACCTATACCTTGACAAATTTCCCTTACCTTGACTGCAACTTTGGTGCTGCCACTGGTACCGTTTATATACCGCGCGACGCCCTCAAACACCTCACCGAAGGCACCGGAGCCAAGGAAGTTGGTGAGCGTGATCTGCTCTCGACGGATGTGAGGTAAACTCGCCAGTTCCGCATCAGTGGGACAGTGTACGCCCTAATAAATAAAAATAAATGTTGTGTAAAAGCCTTGCAAATTTTCTTTCAGACGTCATTGCCATACCTTAGTCCTATCTAGATCGTGTCCATTGTAGTTACCGAAACTGTACCTACTGTTAATAGAATTTAATTTAACTATTTACTTTTTATTGCCCTCAGTCCAACATTTGAGGCAAATGGAAGTCTAATGTGTGGTGTTATGGCAGCGCAGGCTTAGACGGAAAGTCGACTACAAAATTTCTTCGACAGTGGGCGGGGGTTTAGCGAGTGGAGTGATTGTTCAAGGCACCAAGTGGCAAGAGGCACTAAAAAGTCGAACGCAAAAAACAATGTCCAGTAAACAGAATAAAGTTTGATAGTGAATTTTGGAATATTATTGTACTTCTATATCGTAAAACTGAAAATAAATTTACGTGTAGAGAAAACGTCGGCATTTGGACATTTCCATTTTGTTAAGATCGAGGAAAACTAAATAAAATTATTATTTGCAGTCGTCGTTAGCTAGAGTTTATCAATGAATGATACATTGATGTCAGCTATAATCTAAACAAAATAAAGTGTTAGCATGGTACAATGTAGCGTGGTATATGAGAATACCCATTAACACCACATTATATAAGTTAGTAGAGTAACTATTATAGGTATAGTTACGCATGAATACACGAGGTTAAGAGTTATCGTATTAGCGGTATGTATCATATCTTTACGTCTCAGAAGTTAATTAGATATTTTTACCTGATTATAAAGTATGTTAGTGGAATGTCTGATCGGGAGTTGCCTCAGGGTAGCCAATTCCATGTCGGAGCCTCTACGTATCACAGCGGTTTGGATTTGGTTATCTTTAGCAGCTTTTTTCTTCGTTCGGTTATTATATGCTGCAAAAGAAATGTCCATATGATTATAAATAAATACTTGCGAGAATGGAAGTTGAGGAACTTTCGCGATGGCCGATCATGGGTATAGAAAGGTTAACCAAGAATCTCGAGTTCCTTTGTCCTTCGGACGGCACGTTAAAATGTATGTCCCGGTTGCATAGTTTTGCTCCATATTTTGCCAAATATTTGTGTTCGGTCTTTACTGATTTCGGTAAGTCTTTTAACAATAGGAACATAATTATATAGGAACCATATTGTGCTGCGCTGTTTGTCTTAAGGGCAAGGAAGAAATATAGGTCAGTGTCCCATTTTTAGGGCCAAATCTTCAGTAGGTGCTAAGTCAACCCGTAGACCTAAATGTAACTGTTTCATTTCCGCATAGCACGAGCGCGGGCGCCGCGCCGGCTACCATCAGTACAGCGAGCGCAGGCCAGCCGCAGCCAGCGCGGCGCGTTGAAGACGCGACGGCTTAATTTGCCGGCCGGCCCGATGGCTTAATTTTAGCAAAGATAATACCACATAGCACTAGAGCGGCGCTGGTCAGCAGCAACACGGCGCCGGGGATGGCCAGCACTGCGTGGTTTTGTCGCGCCGCCAGCGCCCGGTAGCATATAATCTTAGTATAGATAATACCGCATAGCACGAGAGCGGCGCCGGCTAGCAGCAGCACGGCGAGCGCTGCGCCAGCGACAGCCAGCGCGGCGTGGTGCGGGCGCGTCGCTTGCGCCCTCGCGGCTCGCAACTCCGCCGCTCCCGAGAGCTGTCCCCAGCCGTAGCTGTTGCGCGCCTGCACGCGGGCCACGTACCCCTCCGACACTTGGCCCGCTCCGATCAACCAGTACGTGTCTATAGAAAACAATGCAAACACAATCAATAGCAAAAGATCGAAGTAATCATGAATCTAAAATTTAATAATCATGAATAAGTGAATTTGTATAAAAACTATTGGGCTCTGCTCGGTATACATTTTACGTGCTTCATATTAGGTCACGCATCTGCAGTATCGTTATTCGGTGATTCCTTACATTACTTTTACATAATAAAATCAGTACGCAAATAACATCAAACTTTTCAAGTACTTTTATGTATTCTCTTAATTACATAGGAGTAAAACTCATTCATTCTCAAACTTTTTATCCTTTACGTTATCATCCGTTAAGAAGTAAAACCCGAGTGGTGTTATCTTTTTTGGTCCTTCGAGCTGGATTGAACATGTGAATTTAAGTTTTGAAAAAACGCGTAAATATGTTAAATTCTAAATGGTTTCACTATAGAACTGTAAGTACCTTACAAATGTGTATTAAGATATCGGGAATCTACTTACCTGTTCCATTATGAAGTAGTTCTAAACCGTCACTCAGAATCTGTCGCTTCATATCGTTGGGCATATCAGATGGCAGCGTAGATAGCAATTCACTAATATTATTAGAGTTGTTCATGTAATTGACTCTGAAATAAATTTATGTTATTAAAATAAGCACATTTTTGGGTTTTAAATGGGAATATCATTGATTCACAGAACCTACTGCCTGTGTAATGGGCGACCCCAGACGCGATACATGCTGATGGTTGATCCTCGATTATCTGGTTCCGACCAAAACAAGCGTAAAACGCGCTCCTCTACCGCTTCAACGAGAAGGGGGTCGGGTGCGGATGGCACGTCACCTATGAAGAGAAATTACTTTTAAATTACAGTGCGTCACTTGTAATATGAATTACCGTAACCGCAAAAAGTCAATTTTTCAGGAGAGGCAAAAAAGTAATTTGATTTTTTTTAAATACTTTTGAAATTATGTTTACAGCAATTATCTTATATTTATCCGATCTTTTAGATAAACGAGATCTTAAAAAGCCAGCTATTATAGTTAAGAAAATAGCATGGTGCTTACGTGATTTTTTTCTTAAAAAAGTGAGATTACATTAAGCATTACTAAAAGACAATAAGAACAGTTTAAGGTAAGGAACAAAAACCTAAGAAAAATTGAAGTGAGGCACACTGTTTTCTAAATTTGGACCTACGATACTACCAAGTTATTTAATGGACTTTCAATCATATTTTCTTGTAATAAAGTACAAAATATAATAAATTCTTCAATTTTAGTTAATTTGTGGTAGCGTAGTAAGTTATGAATAAACGAGTTTATAAGCAGGAAAAATACAGTTAAATAGTAAATAAAAAGTTAAAACTACTCTAAGTATATTATGCTCTTAAATCAGTTTTATCAAATGAAGAAAAGACAGATTTGGGTTCTTTTGCTTCATTTTCTCAGAAAGAGAGAAAGCAAAAGAAGATTATCTTATTATGTTATCTTTGAAGACGAACTTCTTAGTAATCCATGGATTCACCATCCGCGTGCCGGGTCCATCGTGTGGGAGAGAGAGAAACTCTGAGCAGTTCCCGGGACTTGCGACCCTGATGTAGGTTTAAGGAGGCCCCCTTTAAGATGCGCAGCAACGCTCACCTTCACTGACGGATTTGCCCGCACTTCCCAGCAAAATTAGATTGGAGCCTGTTAGTGCAGCCTTAGTTACTCGTTCCAAAATAAAACTTACTGCAGTTGAGTAAGTAAAATTTTGGAACGAGTTGTTCTGGCCTGGGTTAGCTGATCTAAAAGCAGAACTGCTACGTATTTGGTTTTGCTTCTAGCTTTATTTGGTGATATCCGATCATCAGCTTCCGATCGTACAAACGTTGCCGTACTGATGACAACTGGCGTGCATTTAAAACTGCAAGGAATCGTTGCAATCAGATGGTGAGAGCCGCTAAAGGCCAATACATCCATCCGAATATTTCAAATTCAAATCTAGCCGATACATGGAAGTTTCTTCGTACTCTAGGTTTTGGTAAAACTTTCTCAACATTTCTCTTCAGTTTCTTCTCTCCCTACTTCAGTTATGCTCTCTACTGTTTCCTCTATAACTTCCATGGCTCCCTTTTCTAGTGAATTATTTAGTTTTCGTCCCTTAACTGAAGAAGAGGTCCGTAAGATTGTCCTTTCCATAAGATGTGATGTAAGGCAGTGGGATGTGACGATATCAGCAGGACTATGATTATTCCTATACTTGAATGTATACTTCCAAGTCTCACCTTTATTCTTAATTTTTCCCTTTCATCATGTACCTTTCCTTCTATCTGGAGAAAAGCACTTACTAAAATTAATAGTTCCTCATCTGTGAGCCACTATCGGCCCATATCTATTCTTCCTTTTCTCTCCAAGGTTTTAGAAGCTGCTGTGCACAGCCAACTCACCTCTTTTATCTTTCGCCACAAAATTCTCAGCCCACTACAATCTGGGTTCCATCCAGGTCACAGTACAACCACTGCCTTTATCAATGTCCTTGACGACATTCGTAGCGGTATGGAAAATTCGCAGTTGCCTGTTATGGTCCTAATAGACTTCTCCAACGCATTCAATATGGTCAACTATGATATTCTCCTCGCAATTCTTTCACAAGCAGAAGTTTCTTCTTCAGTAGGGACCTGGTTTTCATCTTATCTTCGTGGACGCCAGCAGGCTGTACGGGTAGACCAAACCATCTCGGACTGGTGCGCTCTCACTGCTGGTGTTCCACAGGGTGGTATTCTCTCTCCTCTTCTTTTTTCTTTACTTATTAATTTCCTTACTACTATGATTCATTCCTCTTACCATCTATATGCTGACGATCTCCAACTTTATGTTCATGCAGATAAAAACAGTTTAGATGAGGCCCTCATGTGCCTAAATAATGACTAGTGCGTGCTCACTATCTGTCAAACTAATTTTCCTCTTAATCTGTAGTCATCTATATATCATCATTTTTTTTACTAATTTAGTGTATGTATGTTTATTTATGTATTTATTTATAAAGATATATACATATTTATGAATATATATGTGTATCAGTATATGTGTAGGTATATAATATGTATTTTATATTTATTGTTGTTATAGAATAGTTAGGTAAAGTAGATAGTTTTTATGATCCACACTAAGTAGCTCATTTTCTATCGCCATTACATTTCATCTCCTACACCTTTACTGGTTGACTGGTAGAGAATGCCTATGGCATTAAGTCCGCTATTTACTGTTTTATGGTAATAAAAAAAAAAAAATATCGAGTATGTGTTCCACTACCCTAAACTAGGCGACATATGTGCTTTGGCACAACGTAGTTTAGTGCACCTGGTGTTATCCTTCCAATATTACGTATCTTAAAGCGGTCTCTTAGTTCAAAAAGAACTGTATTAATCTTCCAATGCGGTAATGATACCATTAGTAATAATATGCTGACTCCTATCCTAGATATATTCCTTCCTATACTTACCTTTCTTTTTAATAGCTCTTTAGCAAACGCTGTTTTTCCATCGGCTTGGAAAGAAGTTCAAATCATCCCTTTGCCCAAAAAATCGAATCCTCAATCTTTTGCCGATTTTAGGCCTATTTCTATCTTTCCTTTCTTATCTAAAGTCCTCGAAAGTCTCGTCCTTAACTAATTATATATATTCCTCTCTCCTCATGACCTTTTTAATCCTCTCCAATCTGGTTACTGGGCACAGTACCACGACTACCCTCTTGAAAATCAATGATGACATACGCCATGGGATGGATCTAGGTCACCTAACGGTACTGACATTATTGGACTTTAGCAATGCCTTTTTAGCGATTGTAGGTTTCAGTAAATTAAACTCTTGATGGTCAGATGAGGAATCTTTTTATTTTGGAAATCATGTTATATTTATATAAAATTTTACATTAGTTAATCGATGATAATTGGGTAGTTTCATAATAATTTATATGAGTGATGTGCGAGCGGGAGAGGTAGGTTTGCGCCTTTCGCTCGCACCCGGCGCGAGGAATGCGGCGCGCGAGGAAGCGTGCGCGTCGCCTAACAAAACCGCCGTCCGCGGCGGCACTCGTCCATTTCGTCGGGCGACACACGGTTCCCAACTTAGGGGTTTTGCCCCCAGATTTAGGGGCTAGAAGTGTTAAAACGGACTTTTTTAGGGGCTAGAATTTTTTGGGGGTTCTTTTAGGGGCTTTTATCAAAACTTGCAATTTAATCGAAAAACAAAGCGTGTGTTTTCTTACAGTTTTGTGCGTAGAATGGAACACACCACGACATGAAACGACTGAACTGACTGTGTGGCGGGTTGTTTCCTAAGGGTACGGCCAGAGTGCACTCAGATTCAGATTCAGATTTCGAAAACAAGCGCGAGAAATAAACAGTGTAGTCTATAAGCAGGTTGCCTGCTTTTTCTCGCGCTTTGTTTTCTGAGTCTGAATCTGAATCTGAATCAGGAGTGCACTCTGGCCGTACCCTTCGACTACACTGTTTATTTCTCGCGCTTGTTTTCGAAATCTGAATCTGAATCTGAGTGCACTCTGGCCGCACCCTAAGGCTGTATGGACTAAAGTTAAAAAAACAGCTAAATAAGATTTAACAGTCTGTCAGCTCATTTTCGTTTGATTGTCCTTTCGGAAACTGTATTTATTCAATAAAATAATTTACTGTAACTAATTAAGTAACGTTTTAATTTATGAGCAACGAAAGAATTTGGGTAATAATTAGGTACTTAAAAATTGTATATTTAGGGGATTTTAGGGGAATTTAAAAAATACTTAGGGGTAAATTTTGGTAAGGGTTGGTAACACTGGGGCGACACCTACAGTGCAGACGTGTGACGTGCGTGCCGCGGCGGCTGCTTGAAGAGATGCGGTGATCGTGAAGCTGCAGTGATAGCCGAGAGTGAAGCGTTGTTTCGCACGAAAGCTCTTTTCAGAGCTATGTAACCAAAGAATTATTCAGCATCACTATTTCCTGGACGGTGTTTCGTCATTTGAATAAAAGGATTAACTTCTGTGTTGTGTTATTATTGTGTGCTGCTACTACTACACCTTCAACACTGCAAATTATGACATTCTTCTGGCGTTGCTGCGCTCACTTAACGTATCTCCATTGGTGATTGAGTGGTTTCGCAGTTATTTGCAGGGATGCAAGCAGAGGTTTCGCCTCGATGAGATTTTTTCCTCATGTAGCGACACTTCTGCTGGTGTTCCCCAAAGCGGCTTTCTATCTCCTCTTCTTTTCGCTATATTTATTAATTCTATTTCCAAAAATATTTCTTCTTCCTACCACCTGTATGTAGATGATCTTCGACAATGACAATGTGTAATATATGATAATGATTTCCGACAAATTGTGGAGTTGAGCAAATCCTTTGGACTAGAGGTAAATCCCTCCAAAACACAATGCATTATTATAGGTAGCTCAAGGATTATTGCCAAAGTGAATTTGTAGTTACTTCCTAACATAACTCTTGCTGACACCAGTATTCCATTTAGTGTTTCTGTTAAAAATTTAGGAATAATTGTCGATTACCGTTTCAATTGGGATCCACAGTTACAAGCTGTTAGCCGAAAATTGTTTGCTTCAGCAGCTTCGCTAAAGAGACTCCGTAATTTCCTTCCTATTGCCACCAAAATTCCCCTAGAACAGTCTCTGCTACTTCCTATTCTTGATTACGCTAACGCCAGCTAATCTGATTTGAGCGACTTCAAAATTTCTGCATTTGGTTCCTATTCTGCTTACGCAAATATGACCTTCTGTCGTCTCAATTCCGATCACAGCTCAAGTGGCTACCTATTCGACTTCGCCGGAATACTTACATTCTCACACTTCCCTACAATATATTGTTCAATCCTTTATCCCCGCGCTATCTCAAGGAATGCTTTAATTACCTTCATAATTCGAATGCGTTATCTCTTAGGTTATCAGAAAATTTAACCCTAAAAAATCCTATCCATGATACGACCTTCTATGGTCGTTCTTTTACCGTCCAAGCTATACGGCTATGGAATTCTCTTCCAGTATCCATAAGACGAGCACAATCAATTAAAGTCTTTAAAAATCTTGTTGTAAATCTCTATTTGTCGATGTAGCTGGATTGTTATCTTTGCTGACTGGACTAAACTTATATATGTGTAGTCTATGTATATATAATATGTATGTATGTATGTATATATATTTAATAGGGAAGATGCAAATATAATATTTATGAAAAATTTATGATTAAAATGTTAAAAAAATATAAAGAAAGGCCACTGCAACGTTTTTATTTTACATAATGTTGTTTTTTAACAATAATTACGAATTAAAAATGACTTGGAAAAAACCTGTTTGAAAACACGAATCAGCGTTTAGTGACGTCACTCCTGTTATGACAACTTATTTGAGATTATGGTTATAAAAGTTAATATTATTTTATGGGAATATTAATTGCGTTTTTTTTAATAAAAAAGTTGAGTTTATCAAAGCAGAGAGAGGAAATTACCAAGAGTTAGTGTTGACATGGTTGTAACTTTTTTTGTTCAATGTGCAGAGTTTTCAAGTGTAGAAATGAAAGGGACTAAATTACTACGGTAGATATAAATCATAGTTGTTAAACTTTGTATTTTATTCAGCGGCTTCTACACATAGCAGTTATTTCAGCTCAACAAGAGAATTTTACGGTGTAAACGCAATCGGCTATGTCCAAATTAAAAGAGATGGAGAATTATGTACAGTAAAAAGTCGAGTTATTCCGGAGCATAAAGTACGTAAAGAAAGTTATCGTGTTACAGTTATTTTAAATGAAACGCAAAGCTTGGTTCAGTCCTGCCAATGTGAAGATTATGCCACACATTTTAAACTTTATCCAATTTTTGACGTCTTTCTCCAACTGTAAAATTAAAAATATGTCACAGACAGGTTTTGTAAGTATTAGGTAGGTTACTAACGCGTTTTTACGTACAAGTAGATTTATTAAGCATATAACAAATATATTCGCTTACGTCAAAGTGATCTTCACAGCATCGAATAATGGTCTTTAGAGAATAATTGTCATTTCTCTTCGCAGCTTGAAACCATTTTTTTCTCAATTTTGTGTCAGTTAAATTAATTCAATCAAAAGTCAAAAACAATTTATTTGGATACTTTGTTGAAGTAGATGGACACATTGCCACAAAACATGAGTCAACACGGCTTTTTTTCGGAATATTAGTGGTATTTTTATGATCACCTGATGTTGATGGATAGTCCTTTTTAAATTTTTACAAAAAAATATCTCGAAAGTCGAAAAAATATGCAATAGTATGAAAATTGAAAGCCAGCGACGAACAAGTACGACCAGTGACAGAAAGGAGTGACGTCATCGGAACCATAGGTCCGTTTTCGCGCGAAAATTAAACTGTCAATTTAAAACCGCATTTTTTCCGATAAATTACAATGTTTTAATTTTTTAATATATCTGTGGTTTATTCTACATGGAATTCTTTAAAATACAAACAAAAATAAAAATATTGCATCTTCCGTATTGACAAGTGTCCAGAGTTTGTTGCCATTACCGCGTGCTTGGGTGGTTGACAAAAAAAAAGTTTCTTTTTCAATAACGTTTCGGACGACAAAAAAACCAGTGTGCTTATGACCACACGACTGAAGTGAAACATCTTTAGCTCCATATGTATGTATGTATATATGTGTGTACAATATATACATGTGTGTACATATACATATTTCATTTACTAGGTATAAGGGAAAGAGAGAAAGAAAATGTGCGCGCGCACTGCTTATATCCCCCACTCAACCCCGTTCGCCTCGCCCGAACGCACTTTTCGTAACGCGTAATGCATTCGCCAGTTTACCCCTCCAAGTCAAGCGTGCGTAAAGAAGTTTTACTTCAAAAAATATTTTAGTCTTCTGTGACTATTTTTTCTGGGATTTTCATGGGTGCTTTGCTATAGGTACACAATTGAAAAGTTTCATGTGCGGATGAATTATAAAAACTTTGTAACTATGATTCCAATGGAAATGTACTTACACGGAGTTATATCTTTTGGAAGTACTTATTAAAATATATTTTCACATCGTTTTCTCCGGTCGTGAAACTTTCAGCTCCTCTTACAATGAAATATCTTTATGAAGGCATAATGAGTTCATTTCGTTCGTTCGTCATCGAAAAGTCGAAACTGGCGCTAAGGTAATGAATGAGTTTTCACCTAATGTTTCGTAAACGAATCTGTCGTCCTCAGGCCAGTAGTAGGGTGGCGCGTCCTTCACATACTGAAGGTGCAGCCGGAAGCGGTACCCCTTGTGCGGGCGCAGGCCGTTTGCGGTCCACTCGTCGTCGCCGCGGTTGGCACACTCCCGCCAAGTGCCATTCGTCATGCTGGCCTCAGTGTACTCCACTTTGTGTCTATAACATATAATCGAAAGTTACAATTTACAAAGATTTTCTAGGCAATTTAGGTTGATTAGGAATCAAAGCAAACTTCTTTTTGATTTAAAAATTTATTCTCTTAGCAAAATAAACGACGAATTTTTTCAACACAGTGATTATCCCGTTACTACTGACCTGTACAAGGTATATGTGAGGGGTGGCGGCCACACTAGCCGCAGGTTGTAGGCAGCGCGGGGGCGCAGTTGCAACGGCGCAGGCGCGGGGTAGGTACTGACCTGTACAAGGTGTACGTGAGGGGCCGCGACCACGCCAACCGCAAGTGGTAGGCGGCGCGGTGGCACAACCGTAGCGGCGTGCGGCGTTAGGTACTGACCTGTACAAGGTGTACGTGAGGGGCGGCGGCCAAGCTAGCCGCAGGCGGTATGCGGCGCGGTGGCGCAGCTGCATCGGCGCGGGTGCGGGGTAGGTGGCCAGCCGCAGCGGCGCGCTGTCCGCTGGCTGGGTGCTGTGCACTGACCGCGCGCGCACCCATACCGCGTATACCGTGCCCGCCGACAGCCGCGATACCACCACGCTACCCCCGGACGATACTACCAACGTGCTATGCTCTACAGAACAATTATACATGAAAGGTTGCATTTCATTAATTGACTTCTTGAGAGATAGCACCCCTCTCTATAAATCATTATTTTAATAGAAGACTTTAAAAGAAGAAGAAGAAAGAAGTTTCATATCTTATAATAGAAACTTCGCCTGCGATTAATGATACAATGTAAGTCACTAATGTTGCAGATGTCGGTGCGCGAATAGTTTTCAATCAAACCATGAGATGTCTGCTCATTTGACCCTTATTTATCAGAAAACATTAACCTGGCAAGCAATAATTTGCTTCCAGTCCAGTAGTTAACGAAAATAGCGTAAGCATTGAAAAGTATTTTTTTTGTTTTATATACCTTTATATCTATGCGGAGAAGATGTGGAGTCATTTGTTCGCCAATGTACTTCATATTTAAGTCCAGGATCAGGAATCCATTCTACTCGTGCTTGTACAGGACTAAGCGCTATTACCGTTACATTCTTCGGAGCAGTGGGCGCTGAAAAACATAGTATTGCATGACCATTTCTTACTGTGGCATAGTTTCGCGCAAGTTTATTTGTGCAATAATTAGAATTAAGTTAGTAACTAAGTAAACAATAGTCATAATTATTTGTGACATGTACCTTCAGCAGCTGTTTGTAATGATACTGGTACACCAACTACTGGCTTAATTTCGTGAAGCTTTGCGTAAAAGTTGGTCGCTGATATCATCACAGTGTACTTTGTGAATGGTTTCAATTCATCGAGAATTACTTCCGATCTTGTGGTAGTAATATACGAACAAGTGTCCTTATTGCATTCAGCAGTCTGATTGTTTTCAGACTGTGCACGATAGTATAGTGTATATTCTGTAGCTGTCATTTCATACTCTAAATGGCGACAATTTTGGGGTTTTTGCATTAAAGGCATTTGTAGAGTCAAACTGTAGGCAGAATTTGACAACACTTTTGGCTCTAAGTGCTGAGATTTAGGATATAGGCAATTCCGAGGGGGATACGGTTGATTTGCTGGATCAATAGCCATTATTTTATATCCGTGAGATGTTTTGGCGTGTTCTATTTTTTGTTTCTTACTTTTAACAGCATAGAATATTTCTTTTTCTGTAGAATTGAACCAATATACATATTTGCTGTCAACGGTTATCGACATCGGCATAAAACCATACTTTTTCTTTTCGGTGGCGTCGACAGCCACTCTGCATTTACATCCATTCATATCTGCTGCTAATATTTGATGTACCCAAGGATCGATCCAATAAAGTTCTTGATTTGAAGATGACACATCGATAACAAAAGATTTAGCAACTTGAGGATTTTCAGGACAGTTACAGTTTTTTTCCGAAGGATTATTAGTTTTATTAAAGAAAGTCCTTATATCGGAACCATTTATATTAGATGTCATGAGTGTTCCCAAGCCTGGATGACTGCTTTCTTCATACCAAAATAATGACCTTAAAAACAAAAGAAAATTAATTAAGTAATAAGAGGTAGAAACGTTTTTCATTGTGTTCTTCTTAAATTATTAAGAATAAAACAATGAAAAATATTAGCTCACACTTTGCTCACCTTTGCAATGGTTCTATTTGGAGACTGTATATTGGTTGCCTTCTTGCGAACACACGATTTATATGCGGTCTTTTATTACTCATCCCTAAATCAGCACGATATGTAACGTAAGATTCTGAAGAGGTCATTTCTAACTGTGTCCAGTAGACAGAACGGCCTACCCAATCTAAAGTTATACTTGTAGCAGAACCATTGATAGATGTAAGCTGAAATGGATAAACTCATCAATTAGTAATACTGATCAATTACGTATAATAAAAAAAGTAATAAACGAGAATATTAAGTAATTTACATACTTTGTAATGCCCACTACCGTTGATCCTGGAAGAAAAGATTTCTTCCAAATGGTTAACCCAGTAAACGATGTTCTCTTCGATCGAGACGGCAAAATCAATAGGTATACCCATACTCTTCGGTATCGTTTCGCTCTCTTCAGAATCTAAATCCACGACTCTGATGGATTCTTGGGATGACACTATTACTTTCGGGATTGGGTTAATTTCATCTGACGAAGATGATACTTCTTCGGAGTATAAACTAAAGCCAGCATCAGTGTAAGCCCGAACCTGTTTGAAAGTACATATCAGACATAGGCTTAATTGTATCAAGGTTCTTTATGAAAATTAAAAGCGATATTAATCACGTTTATGCCTCATTCTATATCTAAACATACAATGGTGTCGATTCTGGCATGACTCTCTAAACCTAAACTTAAATTTGACAACAGTGTATCCTCGTCATTCTCTATTCACAATGAAAAGGAGAGACTGATGTTTTAGTTTTAAGTTTAGAGAACGATTAGGATTTAGTTTTAAGTTTTGTGTCGTAGGTTCTCAAACAATGAATTCGTAACAAATAGGTAATATTCTTTGCTTTGTTACAAAGTAGCTTAAAACATGCTTTTAGAAGTACCTTCATACGAAGATAAATGAATTATGCTTACCCTGAAGTAATAAATGGACGTAGGTGCTAAATCCCTGAGCATCAGTTGCGTATGAGTGGGGGAGAGACGAGCGTCTGCACACGCGGAGGGCTTCGCGGTGGGTTTAAGCGAGCCAGCCACAGACGACCGCACCCAGCACTGAGCTTCGTATCCTCGAATGATGCCATTGGCTCGAGACGGAGAGTCCCATCGGAATATTGCCGACAGTGAGCCGCCGCTAAATTGGATAATCGAGTTATTGAAAAAATATTTTCGTAAAATTATTAGCACTCCAATGTTCAATGTAGGTAAGTCCTTCGAGATTTTCATAGTTCTTCACTGATCTCTTATAGATCTGAGATTGTAGAAAAAGGGAAAACAGACGCTGGCACAAAATTTTGTGAAGAGATCAATTCCCAGGTTAAGCATGTAAAACATTTACTAGGATTATTTTGCTTCTATTGAATAGTCCAATCGTAAATATTCTTAAACCAATCTAGTGTCATATTTTTATATGGTTTTCATAAAATTTCTAGAGATCTAATGCATTTAATAAGTGGAAATGAATTAGCCCCCCCCCCCCCCAATTTAAAAATCGCCCGCGTCAAATTGAAAAATCTTCTGCCCTCAGCCACGCTGCATTCATCGAAATTTGCGACGTGTATCTCTATCTAAAAATATAAAGACTGCTGAAAATTCCGGCAACTCTTCCTATAAGCGGTGCGACATTAGATGGGGAATCGTAAGTTTGGTTACTCCCTCCAAAATTTGGAGCTGCGACTGCGCCTGCCCACAACTTAGTTACCTGGTGTGAGGCTGAACGTAGACGCGTGGCTTCCTCGGTGGCGCGGGTGGAGCTTGCGGCGAGCGCGCGGTGGCCCTAGCCGGGGCACCGCCACCCCACGCCGTGTGCGCCCGCACTGATACTTGCAGCGTGCTGTATGGCGATACTCCCGCTTGCACTGTCACCCACGGCTCCTCTACAGTGCGCTGAAATCACAACTAGTTTAAATACCTACTAAATGATGTGTGTGTCAATAATTACTCATAATGAAATAAGAAGGTAATGGAGGGAAACGTTGAATGCACACTTGCTCACTTTTTAGCACAAAGGCCCGAAGACGAGTTTTTGACAGCTCTGTAACGTATCGCATCATTAAAGTAGAAAATTAAGCAGCGCTCCTATCGGACGTAAGAACAAACTAGCTTTTTCCATACATATTTTACAATTACGATACTTAACGGAGCTGTCAAAACTCTTGCTTGGGCCTCAGGTTATAAAATCATATAAAACATAGATTACATTATAGATTCGGAAACCATAGTCGGTGTCTGTTGGTAACTGTTGTCAATTGTCTCATGGCAGATCTTATATGGTTACGTCTTGCGGCAAGTTAATACTTGCCGCGCTTGGGGTAATCCCCAAAGTACGTAAATGTTTTGTATCATTTACGAAACCATGATAAACGGCAATATACAATGCGTTCATACGATAAAATACATCGATAGTTTTACCTCAATTTTGGTCTGCCCCGGAAAGTTGAGGCTGACGTCGTAGTAGACGCGGCTGTTATTAATATTGATGCGTGTGGCGGGAGCCCACGTCACGTTGAAACTGTCCCAATCGCCTACAACAGCGATAGATGACGCGTCGATCGTTTCCGGGATTGCAATCAAAGTCTCTGCGAAACGGTAAAAATTTCTTAAATCATCGCATGAGTTGAGGGAGCTCAGCACATATAACTGAACAAGTACCTAAGTGATCACGGCAATTTAATTAGCAATAGTGACATGAAAATTCGTGTTTCTTTGCTAATCTGTATTTTCCAGAAAATATGAAATGCCAACGAGCTAAATTATAAGTATTTTCACAATTTCATTTTAAGAATCTCACCACTATTGGCATGCAATGTAGGATCTCGGACGGCGATGATGTGAACTCGGGGTATTAGCTCCGCGGTATAGCGTCCGGCTAAGTCTGATACCACAGCCCGCGAAGCATCTTGAACCCAAACCAATCGACCGCTAAAATAACACAGTGGACCTAATGTTGCAGTACCAGCCAAACGAGTAACCAAGGATCCAGTTATCTGAAATCAGATAAATAAAAAACTGGCTTTCAAACTTTGTCACAAAAGATAAATAACCCACGTTCATGAATATCCACTGACCTCGTTAGCTCCATATACTATTTGATCAGCAGTTGGTGCTCTATGTAATTCAGATCCATCATAGCTTCTCACTAGCCAGTAAACCCATTTCTTTTCTAGATCAGCTGTAAGACCCATCACTGAAAGAGAAAAATACTTAAGGTTTTTTCTTATATCGAATTAAGTAAGTTGTAGAGGTGTAAAAGTAACGAAACAAAAGCGTACCCGTATGTATTCGTTACTTTAACAACTAGTACGCGTTACTATAGTATCGTTACGTTACTCGTTACTTCTCATAAAAAATCGGTTTTACTGTTTTTAAAATTTTAACCGTGAGCTTATGTTATATCACAGTAACATCGCAATCCATTATTCATCAATTATAATGATAAAGCAACAAATAGGTGTCGAAAATTATTATATTGATAATAATACTAAAATAGCATTCTAACGATAAACCAACATAAAAATAGTTTTGCTTAGAATGAAATTAAACATAACGAAACAAAGAACTACAACAAAAATATTTTGTCCTCAAAATAAAATTATAAAAAAGAATACTAAACGAAATCTTTCAAGTCTGCTTTTTCGATAAGCTACTGTGAGGTAGTCAACGCGACAATTAAGTTGTCACGTCCATTTGACCGGAATAGCGTATATTTTAACGATTCCACTAATTCTTCAGTTACGCAGAAGGTTGTAACACAAAATCATACCAATTTTATTTCACAATATTCACTATGAACGAATTTAAGAATAATTAAAATAAGACGCCAACCGCACTCGATGAAATCCCACCAAAAACTCCAACGTACGTTTTTAAATTCTCCGAATATGCTCGCGCATGCTCAAACATACGATCAGAAAATGTTTCTATACACACATCAACTGTACTTGCGTTAACTGAAACACATAGATAGTCATACTACGAAAAATGCTAGTAACGAAATTTATTTGTGTGTAACGTTTCGTTACTCGGTACTAGATGGCGCACCCGTTATACAGTACCGAATACATACGGTTTGCTACAGCTCTAGTAGGTTGTGTTTTACACTTTAATGTCAGATAGAAAGCGTTTAGCGTTATTCTTACCGTGATTTACAGCGTGCGAGTGAGCATTACATAATGCATTAGAGAGTAATTTATGACAAAACATTAAAAATACCTTGTTTTCCACTAAACAGCTGTGCTGGGTAATATACCATTTTATTCTCGCCATTCAATTTAGCAGCTTCGACGGCATGCCCAGTGTTCCAGTATATGTAAGCTTCAAGTGAATCGATCGTTAGTTCTTTTGCAACAGTAACAATTGGTACTGGTTCCCGATTACTACCATCGAAATTTCCTCGAGTAATCTATAAATATAAACGTTCATAACATGTTAAAAGTTATTCTTGAAATAGGAAATTTACCTGTAGCTAAAAAAATCTTACCAATTGTTGCTTAGGGTTGGACCAATATATCTTTTTGCCAACCCAGTCTACAGCTAAACTGCCAACATTATCCATATTAGGCATCATCCCAATTATATTCGACGTCGTGTTGTACCACATAACTGTAGATTGATTTGTTACTAAATAAAGTTTATCACGATACCATGATATATCCGTTATGTGAAAGTTTTTCAGGTGCGCTCTATAAAAATGTTATTATCTTTTTCAAGAATATGTTAAACTTCTAAAAACTATGTAAAATTTAAAAATCTAATTTACCTGTGTATCAACGTTTGTAAATTATCACCAGTGAGATCAGTTTGCAGGAGTCCATCAGGTCCTGACCATAGCAAAGTGCTATGCAGATTTGTAGGCGATGATGCTAATGTTTTACCAATGAACTCCGTTGACCAAGGACCTATAAATTGTAAGAGTATTAAGAAAACATAGAGAAGTGATTATAACAGGGTGCTTTAAAAATCGCCTGTATAATTACCAGAGCCAGATGAAGTCACTGCCGCTACTTTGATAGTATATAGCGTATCCTGTTCGAGATGCTCAACGACATAAGTAGACTCGGTAATATTTTTGCTGAAGATAGAATAAAAAAATAGTTTAATGAGGGTTTTTCAAATCACAAATTTATTTTTAGTAACGTTATCTTTAGGATCTATTTACATGTTAATAATTTCTGCAGAAGTTGCATGTATTAACTGCAGGTGAAATGTCCATTGTTGCCACGCGCCGCTACCCTGATGCCCAAGAAGATGGGGCGGCGACCACGTGACCTTCGCTCGATTTATTCCCATCACACTCTGTACTGCTATTGGTGGATTTACAGGTACCGGAATTGGCTGACAACTCCTCAGTGCGACAAGGACTTGCTTCGTCGCAATTATTTTAGTATTATACGCTAAAGGATATTCATTATGAAAGTAGCTATCGCTTTGTGCATGATATTCTTCTGTCAACATTTCGCGACCGTTCGTCCAATAAAAAAGGCCGCCTGCATATGCGATCGAACGAGTAGACATGAACATGGGAGTTTGAGTGTTACTGCGAAAGTCGGTAACTTCACGCCTAAAAAGTAAATAACATTTTAAACTGCAAAAATATGACCACAAATAGTAATTACACCAAAATAATTCAAAAAAGTCACCCGTCTAAAGATACTGCTAGAACAGTATTTCGTTTGAGATGTGCAACTAGTAGCCTAAAATCCGCATGGTCTACAGTAAAAGCACCCAAGTAAGCATCTCTTACGATGAGTTCAGGAGGTGATTCGTGGCGAACTCCATTTGAAATATTTGCTAAATCAAGTCTGTACAATCCTCCCCGGTCGCCACCTCGTAGAGCCCAAAACAAATATCTAAGAAAAAGACAGTAAGTTGTTAAATGCAACAAAGATAAAACGTTAAATCTAGTTTTAATATGGTATTAAAATATATTTACCCGTTATATGCGTCCACTTCAAAATGTATAGGGCGGACGTTAAAACCTGAATATGCTACAATTATATTTTTTCCATCAAAATCACATCGTATTATCTCCCATTTAGATACTATCTCTGTAGCTGGATTTGAACTTTCCACCACGTAAGTAATCTCACCGAGAATATACAAGTGACTATTTAACCAGTCCACTGATAAGTCTAGAGGTTGACATGGAATAATTCCTGGGACAAAGATCGCTTCCGACTTACTCTTCTTTGATAGGGAACTTCTAAATACGAAACCATTAGAAACTGACACGAATAGAGAGTCACTTGACACATCTAGACCAACACCTGAAAATAGAGTAAGATTAGATTTCTAATAACAAAAAACAAAAAAATCATAAAACATACTGAGGGTTAATTTTAGCATTGTGAAAAACAATTTTCTTCGTTTTTCCGTACTGTAATTCCCCAGGTATAAGAAAGTAATGCGACAAATTATATTATAAACTTTACCAGTTATAGTATGTTCGCTACTATACAACTCTACAGGTTCAGAAAGCATATCATTGGCCAGTGCTGCAAAAATATTCTGTTCGCCTTGCAGAATTAGGATAGGTTGTTGACTGGGAGCAGCTAAAAATAAAAATATGGTAAAAAAAAATTATAAAAAATTGTAACTATAAAAATATTGATTAAATTAAAACGTTTTTGGTAAGTATACTATAAAAATAAGCTAATGACTCACGTGATGGTAGAGGTGGAGTTGATATTCTAACAATGGCTCGAGGGCCTTCTCCCACTGCGTTGCGCATTGTCACGGAAACTTCGTATTCTCGGGCAGGTGCTAAATTTTGGAACATGTAAAACAATGTGTTGTTTGATGCCGGCATGTCCTGGAACAATTCGTGTGATTGACTATCTTGGTATATTTGGATAATGATAAAAAAAAACTCATAATAAGTGCCCATTATTTGAGTTCTTATCGTTCGCATACAATTATAATAAAATGTAATGAAATTCAGTAATCCTCTTTAAGTTACAGTAATATAAGTTCAGCTAAAATTACCAATGAACGAATTCAAAACTTTTTATATTTAAAGTAAGAGGTTTTTTAATATTTTCTTTTCTAACTTCTTAATTCCTCTTTCTGCTATGCACCCCACGTTGGGCGCTAAACTGTCAAGTTACATCAGTAGATTTCGATTCCGATACAAGTCAACAAAAGTATATAAAGGTTATTATTATGAGATATTTAAATACTTTTTCTAAACTTATATTTGAATATTCAAATATATCAATTTTACTTAACGAATGTGATTTCCTGACTGTGAACAATTTTAATAGTTGTAATTTGTTGATGTGATTAATCAGATCATGTGATACCAACCTCTAAAGCGTCGATTGTTTTAGTATGGGTATCAGTCAGCCTCAGCACATAGGATATGAGAGGTCCGTTGGGAAATGACCCCGGTTCCCAGGATATAGCCACCCTGCCTGGGTCGGGAGCAGCCGCGCGTAAAGAAGATGGAGCTGAGCTCGGTTTACCACTTTCTTGAGTTGATATCACCACTGACGGTGCAGAGTACACCGGCTCCCCAGGACCACCGCGCCCAGACAAGAATATTGCCACACGAAACTAAAACAATGTAAGTAATTTAACTAACAAAATCTAAGATTTGTATAAATGAATGATGATTCCAAAAGGTTAAATCCATATGAACTTAAGTTTTTTGCCTTCCTACAACTTCCGCATATATGTTTTATCTTCTCTCGTCATAGTTAGGAATTTCTTAAGAAATAGGTAACGTAATTAATGACGTACCCTGTATTTGGTGTAGGGGCGCAGGTTTTCAACGTGTATTATGGATCGATCAGAGTGGCTCGTGTTGGAATAGTATTGCCAGGTGCCCGGGAGCTCCACATATCGCCATTGCACTAGGTAGCTAAGATTGCCCAGCGTGGGTGCCTCCCACACTAACGAGAGAGAGGAGGCAGTGAGGCTGTCTGCTACCAGAGCCGGCGCAGGTGGGATGCCGATCAACTCTAAATTAGAATAATATGTTAGTTTAACATTTCAACCAAACTACATGCGGCAACTACGAGACTTTTACAAAATCAGAATAAAGTTTGATCTACTTGTCTCAGAAATAAACATTTCAGTACTTTACTATGATCAATATTCAATCACAGTCAAACTGTTTTTTTCTGAGTCTATATCTATATAATAATTTTAAAGATTACCCCCGTTTGGCCGTAACAACACTGAATAAAAATACTTAAGTATAATAAGAATTCATTTACCTCTCAACATTTGAAAGTACGTGTTAAGAGCTTCATTGCATCCCATAACGCAGTAAAGCTCTCGGGAAAAAGTTGATTCCGATGTGACATTCTGTAATGTTGTGAAGAATTATAGCGAGTTAAGAAATCTGAGCATGTAAAAGTATAAATCTTGCTATGAGTAGAGTTACAGAGGAAGGAATCAAAATACAGTTAATCGTAGGAATAGGTAAGTAACGTATATATGTATATTAATTTTTGTTTATACTCGGAAGAAAAATGTGTAAAGCTTAAAAAGTGGTGGTTAAGTAATAGAAACTTACGCAAACAGCCTGACAGGAATTTTCCAACCCTTCTTTCCAAAGGCTGCATCCAATTGCACACTATTGAACAAACAGAAAAAAGAACAAAAAATAATATAATTAATGAAGAACAGCGTTCTTTATTATCCTTTGAAGGTGATAGAGCGTAAAATTAAGGGTGAAATGGAACATATTCTAGTGAAGAGTTTGAGGCAAAAGGGGTACCAAATACCAACTAAGTAAATTTTGAGAGACATGTCTTTCAAAAAGTCTTGATTCATGTTATCATGATGTGTTTAATACTTTTTAATTTACTCTGTCACTTTGTAAGTACAGCAAAAGTTCAACCTTATTAGGTAATACGTAATACTTTACTATTAATGCAACTCATTACTTAATTGGATTGACGAAATAATGATAAAGTGATTATGATAAAAAGTTTGATGCTTTTATTTAATGTAAATAGTAAGACAAGCGTTGACAAGATGGGTGTTTAAAAGTAGTTCCTCCCTGATAACTTTTACACCAATTAGTGTGTAATGGTGCGGGCGCTAATGCAATTAGACTGCTCTGTTCACTTTACATAATATTTTGATACCGGACATGCCACTTTATACTCATCAAGCCCTATGATCTTTTTGATTTTTAAGCGCCACTTTCTGTCTTAACTTGTGTGTTTATAAATTAATTTGATGAATGTGATGTGGAATTCCGTACTTCGGAAGGCACATGGTGGTCGTCGCCCAATCCCCCTTTTCCATCCTTTCCATCCAAAGAAAGGGCTGTGCCCCAGCAGTAGGGATATTAATAAGCTGAAGTTTTGTTTATACTTTTGGATTTTATATAACACAACTTACGGTAAGACGAAAGTAAATCAATTACCAACTGAAAAATTAACAACCCTCGTTAAAAGCACGTATGATCACCCATTACCAAATAAGTGATAGCTCGGTAAATCATGAAAGCATGTTTTATCAACAAGTGGATATAATTTCTTCGTCGTTCGTATGAAGCTATCACCGAGAATAGACGAGTGCCTATCCTCGGTAAATACGCTCAGTATAGCTGATTGTTAAGTGGGGACTCTCGTTATTACCAGAAGTTTTCATTCTGATAAAAAAAAAACATTTATACAAGTAAGTATAAAGAAAATTTTAGTAATTATACATAGAGAATTTAGTAAACTTCAGTGAAAAAATATACTTATGGGCTCAGCACATGTGTCTTTTTACTGCAAATTTGATATGTCGCTTAGCCTCCTCATGATCACCTGCGTTTTCCTGAGTACAAATCTTTTGGGTCGATCTTTTTTGGTATTAACATCTATGTTGTTACTGTTTATCCGATGTGATTTAGATGTTTACGTCTCTCACGTGCCAACAGCCGACGTACTACAAGTACACGTCGTTGAAGATTCAGTAAACAATACACTCTCAAAAGCTTTGGTGATGTTTGGGACAGCTATTTTGTAACCGTTATTAGGAGCTCCTACTTTTTCGCTATAGAAGTTGCATAGCAAAGCTTAATAAAAAGTATTCATGAAATTGCATTATTTTACGTATTACGTGCTGAAATACGATTTTTTTCAAAAAAAACCACTGATCATTATGCTTCCGACCCAAACGGTGGGCGACTTTACTTATGTAGAGGACACGACGTACACGTAACGTCGGTTGCTTATAACGGATTTTCACGGTCTAACGGCGTCCTTTAAGGGTGACTGTGCCGTTACGAAAGCTACAGGTGCGCCACCGTACCAAGTTCACAGCGATTAAATTTTCTTATAAAAAATATCTATAACATCTATTTGCCATAAAAGTTAAATATTATAGATTCATAATTTATAATAACTTTAATTGATAAAAAAAACTTATGACAGTTCCTATTTAAGTAGTCTCATAATGGTTTTTGGTAGGTACCTAGGTACCACTAGGTACTTTGTTAAAAATGTAACAGTTATTTCCAATAGGGTTTGCAATCAGAAACAACATAATTAAAGATAAATAATGAAAAATTACGTATTCAACCATTATATCAATTAATTAACATAGATATAAAATAATAATAGATTCTTATGAGATTTATTTGACCTAATGTGTATCGCGTGTATGTGTTTAATCTATTAACATATTGCATGTTGAAATTTGAATTATAGATAAATTCAATTAACATCTCAGTGGGTGTCCCTCACCTCAATTATGAAGTTATCAACGACATGTAAACGAATAATTCATCAAATACATAGATAAAATAATTTTAGTACGAGATCCAACTTTTATATTAATTAGTAACGTTCGATAAGGGCCAATCACAAAGAGTGGAAAATTACATACTTAAGAACTGTGAATTTTTTGAATGATTTGCAAAAAAAATATATCATACTTTTACATTTTTAAGCTTTCCCCAAACGTAGGAAATTGGCCAATTACATCATGCTTTGAAAAAATAGACTTCTTTGAGTATTCCTCATTAAATGTAGGTTCTGCTGTATGAAAAAAGATTAATCTCTATAACAATATTACAATACGTCATCCATTCCATTTGGACAATGAAACACAATAATGTGGACATGTAGATCTCAATGTGAAGCGCGATGAGCAACACGCGGAACAATCAAGGCGCGCGGATGAGTGTGCACAGATACAAAACTGATGGGTGCAGAAGTCAATCACATGTAGTCATGTACTTCACTTTTACACACAATAACTTTGACCTATGCACAAAAACTATCGTGCTAAAGACATATAATATCTAGTTGTGTTATTTTTTGTTGAGAATGAAACGGGAAGAACGGAAATATAAACCAAGAATATTTTTTTGTTGGTCCAATTTTCCACATAAATGTTCACAGACGAATGGACCTCGCACTCGTACTAGTCCCAACCGGTCCGAGATATCGTGTCCACGAGCGGTGTCTATGTGTGTGTTGCTTGAGCGCACTTTGTATTTAGATTGACTTTCTGTACCTAGCTGTTTTGTGGCGCGGACAAGGCGCGGCGAGGCGAGGTCATGCTCCGGTGAGGATTGTTTGGGCCGGCTAATTGCTGTCCAGGCTGACCCACGCACTTCTATCTTACTTGATCACCGCTGCCATTATTGGGTCAGGGACGTGGTAGCACATCAATGAAATAAAAAATTACAACTTTACATGCTCTTTTACCAAAAAAGTTTCCGAGGAACCATAGCTACCTACATTAGGACCTGTCTGATGATGACCGGCATGCTATTAAACCCATACAAGTTTGCAACATCAATAATGTTGGTTTCGCATTATCCATCTTTCCTTCTACTGTACCCAATGAAGGAAAATCAGGCGCGGTTGCAGCCTGAACTTTTGGAGGGGGTCACTCACTACACTAATAAAAAATAGGTATCTGGAATAAAATAAACATTATTGCACAAGACACAATTTTATTTTATACATTACTTATAAAATATTGTTATACAATCTTTATCATAACGACGCATATCGATTTTGCTAGGATTACCAAAACTAAACTAAACTAAAGTAGTTCGGTTCCTTGTTTCAAAACTAGTACTAGATGTCATTTCCAAGTTATTTTGGCCATCATACGTAGTTCATAAAAACACCACTAGATGTCAACAAACTATAAATTTATCGCTGTTAGGGTAGGTAGAAATTTCCTTTTATTATTTGGCAATTTTTTCAGAAATTTCAATTTGACCTTAGATTTGGGGTGTCATGTCCCCTGCGACCCCCCCCCCCCCCCCCCTTTCCTTCGAACCGCGCATGAGGAACATGCAGCAGAGTCTAAATAATGCCTATTAGTAATGAGCCACTTGGCTTCTTTTCAGTTACTGCCAATGCAAGCGATAAGATTTAATTGGTGCATTATTTTCTTTTAAAAAAAATATTCCTGAGACTCTATCCCTTGATCTATCTCTACATTTCGAACTCGAGCAATTGAGTTACCTAGACTTTGAATTATGACTAATGACTAATATGTGTGTATATTCCGGTTTTCATAATCGGATCGTGTTTCGACCTACGTGTCACTGCTAATTATCCAGATCTAGTGCATAGCGAAATATTAACCATATATAATATACAGCATAGGCTCTTAATATTTAAGGTAACTATCCTCTAATGGATGTTAGATACTGACATAAGTATCTAACACCCGATCAAGAAGACAATATGCTTTTAAAAATCTTATACAGTAAAAACGATTCCGTTTAAGACGATTTCTCAGGGACTCAACCAACAACGCGTCATAGGGTGCGGCCAGAGTGCACTCAGATTCAGATTCAGATTCAGATTCCGAAAACAAGCGCGAGAAATAAACAGTGTAGTCGAAGGGTACGGCCAGAGTGCACTCCTGATTCAGACTCAGATTCAGACTCAGAAAACAAAGCGCGAGAAAAAGCAGGCAATCTGCTTAGACTACACTGTTTATTTCTCGCACTTGTTTTCTGAGTCTGAATCTGAATCTGAGTGCACTCTGGCCGTACCCATAAGCAGGAAAGCGTATTATGCGGGATTGCGGGATAGGGAAATTTCGAATATAGGTATTGAGGTATTAAATGTACAATATTTAAGAATTATGTATGTCATAAAAATGTAGTGTACTATTATTTATTATTACGTTATTTAAATTAATCACTTATTTTAGTTTTTTAAATGGTTTTGAGGCATTAGCAATTACAAGTTTTTTAACATAACTTAACTTTTGCAGTGCGTATTTGCTTTGATTCAAAGAAGTTACATGGCGTCTTAAATCATTAACTGCTGATAATGCCTTGGCGTGTGACAAAATCGGAGTTGACTCATCTTCTTCTTGATCATTATCACTCAGGGCCTCTTCTTGTGTGTTATTCACATTCTCATTAAATTTTATGCTGCCGCAAGAGGTAATATGTGTGGTACGTGTTGGCGATTTAGGCGTATTAAACGGGATGACGAATCGTATGAAGCATTACATTACTTATGAAAATCATGTCTCAAGTTGCAGGAACTGTCTCAAAATGGCATACTATGCGAGAAATCGTATTAAGCGTGATCTTATTAAACGGGTTCTACTGTATAAGGTTCTTATCTATTCGTATCTTTTTTTAGGTTA